GCTGGCTAACAAGAAACCTTTCATTTCCAAAGCATGAGATCCAGCTTGGGGTGCGGAGCACCTGGCCGGTGCTGCTGTCCGAGGGGTCTGTTTCTTCTGCAAGCTCATAGGTAATCACATATAGTACATAGTATGGCAGGGGGTACGACATACCGTACTTACTACTATGCCAACAACAACCCACCGTATTCATCCCGGCTTGCTAAGAATACATACTCCGAGGGCAATCAATTGCTTGCACTGCTTAGTACGGATATTGCGAACGCATCGCTTCGCATCCATCCCCATCAGCAAGGGCGCCGGACAGTTGTAGGGCGCAACGCCACCGCTCTCGCCGCCAAAAGCGATCAGGGCCCGTTGGCAAGCATGCTAGCCCGTTAGCGTCTACGAACATACCCGCCCCGCTACCGTTTGTCGATTTCGACCCCCCTTTTTGGCGTGGCCTGTGTAAATCCCGTGTATGCTTGTCGCGGCCCTCGTCGCGCTTGAACCGTCGCCACTCGCGGTACGAGATGTAGTGTAGTGTTGTGTACGGAGGAGAGTGGTGTGTACAGGGTATGCTGAGTGGACCGGGGCATAGCTGTAGCCCCTTTGCATCCAAGTGTTTGTGCTCGCTCTCCACGTACGACATCTACGTACGTTGGATGTCGCTTCGCTGCCCGCTTTATGGACTGCTACTACTGGTCGGCCCGTTGGTAAGAGATCGCTGGTCGCCAGACAGTATTGTGGGCCCCCTTACTGGTCTTTGAGACGTGGACTAAATATAGTGAGTGTAATGAGACGGACTAACGGCCTTGGAGTTAAAGGAGAGGACGGCAGAAGATCAAAGAATGTCAAAACATGCAGCTCCAGCCAGTTGTGCGGTGGATGAGTCGAAGCTTGGGCGTTTGCAAAAACGTCATGAAAGCTGTCAATAACGGCGGTGGCTGTTCTCCAGAACCGGGCAGGTCGGGGTACTGCATTCTGAGCGCGCAGGGTGAGTGTGTGCGCGTTGTATGTAAAGTAGCCAGCTGATGTGGTGGTCGGACGGCAAATCATGTCATCCCATCTTCTGCCGATTTCAGGTCAGACGGCTCATAACAATGTGTTCGTGTAGTGTGCGCGCCGCGGTTGTCCGGGTATAAAACATAGCGTCCGATCTAGGCTTGATAGCTGGGCACGAGTGCTGATGTTGCTTGCTGATGCCGCCAAGCTGCAGAGCTCACGAATGGCGGCTCCATCATTCCCCCCTTCCACCTCCTCCTTCCCCGTCGGTGACTGGACCGTCTGGAAGACCAGGCTAACCAGGCCAAATCCCGCACATTGATACCTGTGGAGGAGTGAGGGACGAGGCAGGGCGGTGGAGGAGTAGTCATGGAATCTTCCCCCGTTAGGACAGGGGCCGCCATCCCTTCCGATATGCACGTAGTATTACCTCACCACCTTTGGCAAGGCGAAGCAACCTACGGTGGGGTACTTTGGAAGTCAAATAAGGGGGGGGCGGGAAGGGTGCTCTTGTTTTTTCCCCTTCGTATCCGCCGATCCATCCCACGCAGCTGATGACTGCCATCTGCACCACGCCGCACACTGCACTGCAGAAGGGGAGAGACACGTCCAAAGTCAAGATTGAGGCGACCGAAGTCGTGATTGGCCAACGGGGTGGGCGAGGTATGCTGCTGTTGTTGTTGTTGTTGTTTTGGTTGTTGTTGTTGTTGTTGCTGTACCGGCGTGGCGGCCTGCTGTCTGTCTAACCTGCCGAGAGATGCGTCGACGAGCCTGTGTAATACCCGAGGCGAACCTGTGGTGTACCTTAGGTAGTATCCGTACTTGCGTCCCTTGGCACAATTGATGGGCTGGTCATTTAAGCCGAGGAATCTGCATTTCGTTCCATTGTGTAGTGTAGGTGGATGGTACGGGTGTGCGAGGGCGGGTGTGCCTCAATCCTGAAGAAGCGGCTTCCAGTTGGAGGACGGCACTATTACCACCTAAATAAATTACGTTAGGTACCTGGCTGGCTGGCTGGGCATCCATCTGTCCTATCCATCTGTACAGTGCTTGCTGCCCGCAGTGTACTCTGAAGAAGGGGCTCGAGACGACAGGCTGAGAAGGTGTGGTGCAGGTGCGAATGCTAGGCAATGTTGGCTAGGTATCAGCGTATGCTGGGTAAACAACAGTGCAAACATGACTAGCTCTGGGCGGTTTGTTTCCGTCTCGCTGGACTTCTTGGACGCTCTTTGGACGCTCTCTGGTGTGGGACCGTTGATGCGTGTGTTTATTGCTCCTGGAGCGGCGTCTCATCTTTGGTCTGACTGTGCCTGGACCGGTGCCGCATCATCTTTCTTGGTAGCGGGTGCACCTAAGGGGAGAGATGCTTCGACGGCGGTCTTATTTGTCGTGCATCTGCGTGTGATTCTTGCAGAAGCGCTCTTTCTTGCTTTTCAGCCCGGCGCAAAAGTGTGTTGTGTCCAATGCCGTGTTCCCGGCATTCGAGTACGGAGGCGAAGGCAGTGACGGGATTGGCGCGTCGACATGTTGTGGTGTTGGTGGCATCATGCGAGGGTGATACGCAGCAATGTTTTTTTTCCCCTTCCTTCCTTGAATGTCTTCAGGGGTTCCTTCCGGGCTTGGAGAGGCAGGCACTCACTCTGACGACCGCGGCGGGCATTTCCAGTCGTCCAGGAGCAACAGGAGCAAGGGGTCGCGGGGCTGTGATTCGCCGCCTCTCCTTAGATCGCCCAATGACAGGATGCCAAAATTCTCCAGACCGAGAGACAATTCCCTCCACGGGTGAGGAGACGAGGAGAGACGCGTTCTACCCATTCCTGTTTGGGTTATTTGGGGAAAGGGATCCGCCCTGTGCGGCCAACGGGGATGTTAATGACGACGGGGGGCTGTTTTCGCACAGGGCCGCCTCCGATCACTTCAAGTCCCACGCTGTATCCGTAATAGTCCGTGATGTTCCCCTCCCCCCGTTGGTGGATTCCAAGGGTCAGTGTTCGTTGTTCCTCCTTCGACCCTGCCTGTCAAGTTCGTCCGCTATGGCCACAGCTCAAGTTGGCGAGATGTTGCCGATGCGATGGATGTTGCTGTTGTTTCTGAGAGGGGTAAGAAAGCAAGGCAGGAAGGAAGGAAGGTCTTGTACCTGGCTAGGCTGGACAGGACTGGACAGGACTGGACTTGGACAGGGCTGGCTGTACTGCACTGTACCTAGATAGGGTATGGCATTGGTATGAGGCAAGTGAGAGGAAACGCTCGAATGTTCCTCTCCCTTTCTTTCCGTCCCTCGGCCTCCTTCTCTCTTTCTCTCAGACCACAGCAGGTAGCCCCAGTTCACAGCACTTGCAGGGCCAGTTTGGACCAGTCAGAGACGACCATGTTGAACAGGGACCCCCATGGTGCCGCAGGAAAGTACAGGGTATGTGTATGTACAGACATGGGATCAAGGATAGGGACCGAAAATCCAGGACGTATGGATGTGCATTTGCCAGGTGCCAAGACGCAACACTTTGTACCTTCAAAGCCACATAATGCTGCAGAGGTACTTTGGTCTGTGAGTCTCCATAGTGGAACTCCATCTTTGGTCCGTCCTGTCTGGCTCCAGTACACCAATGCAGGCAGCATCGGTACGATACCAAAAACCTTCCCATTTGGCAATCTCCATCTCGACCCTTCCACGCACCCCCCTAAAGTAAAGCCGCCATTTGCCCATCCATTTGCCTTGCCTCGCCTTGCCTGGCGCGCCTTGCCTCACAGAACGAACGTCCTTCTCCTCCTCTATTGGAAACTCCTTCTCACCATACCTGACTTCCTCACTGTGTATCCCCTCAAAAAAAAAAAGTCTCACCCTTTCCCTTCCCTTTCTTTCCCCCTTCTTCTTTCTGTTCACCTCCCTCTTCTACCGCTTCTCTGCCCCCAATTTCATCCTGCCCCTAGAACCCATTCATTCCATCCCATCGACGTACCCCCTTTTTTTGTCATCGTCCCCCCCAAAGGAAAAGAAAAGAAGAAGAGAAGAAGGAAAAAAAAAAAAAAAAAACCTTCAATTTCTCCAGAGGCTGCCTGAAGCTCAAAGTCCCTTCCCGCTGGGTCTCCGTATTCAATTGCTCCGATCACACCTTCGCTCCGGTCATCGCCCATTCCGCCTTCCTGTCGTTTTCTGTCCTTCTACCTAGTCACCCATCCCGTCCCATCCATACCGTCCTACCGAGACTGAAGAGAGAAAGAAGAGCACCACCGCGCCCTTGCTACACCTGACGAATGCCCTTCTCCTTTTTCATGATTTAAAAATTAAAGATACAACCCTACCTCAAACTCGACGACAAGACGAGCTCGTCTGACTTACTCGACACCATCGTACCGACGACTACTCTGCCGCGATACCGAACCGGATACGAGTGCCTCATATTCCCATGTTCTTGGCCGACTGATAGCTTTGCTTCGAGTTGTCACTGTGACACTTGATCTTCTCTACCCTCGGTCGATTGTTCTGTCGCCCAGTGCTCGTCCTCTCTAGAACAGAAGTGCTTCGCGGGAACAGCGAATCACTCTGTCTTGCCCTCTGTCCGCCGAATATCTCGTTGTTCTCCTCTGGCCGCAGGCGACCTTCTATTCCAACATTATAAACGGGCACTTCCATCTCGCCCAGGAAAATATCAGACAACGCCGGGCAGGTTAGCTAGCCTGTCTCCGTGGGCTATCAAATAGAAGAAAGGTTTGTAGGATATGCGTCCCCCTTGCTTTTACAGACACGCTCACCTTTGTAATGTATCGCATATGCATCAACCGCGTGGGGGCATATTCGCCTGCTGTTGACGGCCGCGTGAAGTTGGTTCAGCTTTGCTAACATGATCCATTTTGCCAGTATCGAGAATTTGCGCCCTGCAAATTGCTGATCACAGCATCGTCCAGGCCACTTGAATCTAGTGTGTATGAGTCTCGAGTGAACCTGGGCAGGTCGAGCGACTGAACGACCGGCGAAGAAGCACTCGTCTGGCACTTCTCTACTGTCGGCTGCTTGGAACATGGCCGCGTTGGTTCAAACGTATCCTCAGCAGACCACCACTGTCACCACCCTCGAGCCGAGATCCCCCGGCAGCATGATCCCCGCACAGGCTCAGGCGAATCAGCAATACATGGCCGCCCAGCAAGCTCAGAGAAACTTCTCCGGGTCTGGTGTATACCGCGGGAGTAACGCCCCGATTCAGCCATACGCCTTTACCAGTACCCCGAGCCTGAACGCCAACGGCCAGTGGCAGCAGTACGGTAGTGGCTACCGCACATCCTCTTCCCCAGCTGTTCCGACGCAAGGCATGGTCCACGGACAAGACGCAAGCCGATCCCGTCATTCTGGAAGCTCTTCCATGTCCAGCGCTGGCTACGGCCACGGCGGCATGGGGACGAGCAACGGCGGGTCGAGGGACGACCTGGCGATTCCTGCTGCTCGCACGAACTCGCAGGCCCCGAGACCACAGTCGGCGTACTTATCTGGCAACGCAACACAACAGCAGCAAATGACATTCGCTCAGACCCCTGGCACTAAGACAACGCCTGATCGGTACCGGCGCCCCGCTCTTCAGCAACAGCAACCACGCCAAACTAGTGCCCCTTCAGGCTCCGGCATGGCTACGGTTAGCCATTTGTACAATGCCCCGGAACAAAAGAGCGTGTCAGTGCGAGGTCGAATGCCATCTTATCAGGGCAGGCCAAACAGTTCCTACGATGCCGCCGATGACATGCAATTGAATCGGCAATCAACCGAGGACAGGCGACTCAGGCGGCGCAGCATGCACTCGCTTGATTCTGCCGATTATCCCAAGCCGCTAACCCCACAGGAATTCTCCCATTCGGAAGAACCCCCCCGCCCCGACCGCCGTCCAACTCCCAAAAACAACGAAAAGACGCTTCGCATGGTTTCCACCCTCACACCTCCCGTCGACAACAACATGCATGTCCGTAATGGCAGCGCCGAAAGCCTGGCATCGAGCCGCAGTAGCCATTCACGTCCGTCTTCGGTGAGTAACCACCCCCATCCTTCACCTCCATCCTTCACCTCCATCATTCCCCCTGTCTCTGTCGTTTCGCCGTCGGCGTCTTCGTCTCATCCCTTGATTCGATTGCCCAATCATGCACCGGCCCGATCATCCTGAATCGTTCCATCGCTAACAAGTTTATTTCCGCCAGTCTGCCAACCGCAGCGTTCCCACCCCCGCCGTCAACCCCCCCTCTTCTTCCTCGACTTCTCCCAACCCAGATGACGGCTCATCGAAACAAGATCATCCCAAGCTTGTGAACGTTCCGCCACGAAGCTCATCGTCAGATGCGGCTAAAAAGCAGTCGACGCCCTCTCCCCTTTCCCAGCCGGTGACGATGGCAACAGACTCGAGTCCACAAAGACCACCTTCCTCTCTGGGCAATGCTTCGCAGCAGGCGTCGGCTCCGGGCACACCCGCATCCAACGCAGTTAATGCCAGTAGTCCCGCCGCCCAGCATCTGGCCGCGATCAATCAAAAGAGCACGAGGTCGAAAAGCAAGACATCACGATTGCGCAGAGCCTTCTCGTTTGGCAGTGCTGCCGATTTCAAAAAGGCCGCCGGCCCCGATACCGCTCCTGCTGAAACCAGTACCGCGGCCGACCCGTCGCGACTGCACAAGGACCCGACGCCTGCTGAGATATACGATGCCGAACAGGCCGCTATCGCCAAAAAGCAGGAAGAGGGGGGAATCGGAAACAGCATCTACGGCGGGCGATTGTTCTCCAACTCGACGGACAACCTGTCCATCTCATCGACCGCGTCATCTGCTTCCATCATGATCCGTAAGATGGGCCGCGGTATGAAGAAGAGTACGCGAAACCTTGTTGGCCTGTTCAGACCTAAATCGGTTATCGGCGTTCCGGCAGCCGATGCGATGGCTCCAGAAGCCAGCCAGGCTGCAGTGTCTATGATCACCGTTGAAGCTGAAAGAGTCAACGTCAACGCGGATCCTCGTACGCAAAATGGCGGCGGCACTGGGTTCCCCCGCTTGGAGCGGAACTCACTCGACATCTCCAACACTCCCAGCATGGTATCCGAACGCGCTGGGAGCTCCGGTAACGACAGCGCCGGACGGAAGAGCATTGTCGGCGGTGACAGGGAGCGCGCCGAGGTGCTTGCAGCCGTCAGGAAGGGGATTCTCAAGCACAACAACAACAACAACAACCGATCAGGCAGTCCTGCTCGTGAGCGCACTTCCAACTTTGAACTGCCCGCGATTCCCAACATCGCTGACTCGCCCATTTCCACCGCTCCGAGCACGCCGAATGATGAGGCGCAAGTTCACAAGCGATCGGGATCAGTGGCTATCGGCACTGAGGATTACTTCATGACCGCTCTCAGGCTTCGTCAGGACAGTAAGAGTGCCCCGGGAACGCCTTCAGGATCGGCCAAGAGAAACGCAACTTTCTCGCCAAGGATTATCTTCCACGACACATGGCCGAGCGGCGAGTATGATCGCAGGGGCGAGATTGCAACTTGCAACCGCCTTACGCCGATGCTGGCACAGCAGATCAAGGAAGAACTCAACACGTTCAAGATGGTATGTCGGCACCCGAAACCCGCCCCCCTTGTTTTTTTTTTCTGCCGTGCACCGCTAATCGTTTCCAAGGAAATGGAAGTTCATGAAAACTCCAAGATTTACACGCACTTTTTCTAACGACGGCTACGCCTGCGAGACGGAATCTTCCCAACTCTGCTTCTCGATGGGCAGCAAAGCCCGATCATGTATTTCCACTACATTTACCTTTTGACGGCGTTCAGGAACAGCATCGTACGGCGTCAAGGCGTTTATCAATCGTCACATTGACAGCATTTTCTTGCCTGACTGAGAAGCACACGCCGGCCGCCCTTTGTGGATTAATTCTCTGTTTTTCATGTTATTTGCGGCGGGTGGAATGGCAGGCATACGAGCAAGGCGGCCGGAGAGGCAGGATGGCCTTCGATATCCAGTCAGTGCAGACAGATGGCGGGCCAAAGACCCGTTTGCATTTGGGCAGCGATTACACGGACCATGGGGAGACGACGGCAGCAGTGATTTGCGGCCTCCTATCATCTTACACTTTTTATTATTATCAGATGGGGCCCAAGCCCTGTGGCGATAGTAGCATGCGGACTCTGAAAGGATCTCTTTGCTCGCGCTTGATACTCGGTCGAGCTTTACTGTGTTGGTATTTGCTTTGTTGGAGGGTCAAAGGACTTCTTTCTTCTTTCTTTATCTGTCTGTGGGTTCTCTTCGAATTACATTGTCGCCTTCTAGTTCGTCGGGTCAAGAGAAGGCAGAATAGAGTGTGGCTTTTTTTTTATCAGGAAAAACAGCTTGAGTCTCAAGAGGGTACAGACCGCTCCAGCGAATTGAATACTTTTAGAGCGCACTCAGTTATGGCTGTGTGGGGGAGGTGTACCTCCTCACTCACATGTGACAGCTATCTACTTGCGACAATTGCGCATTGAGTTTTTGCATGCCTTGACTTGTCTGACACACGGTCTCAGTACAGAACAAGGACGACGCTCACTGGGTCCCAGAACGAGCAATCGTGGACAGTTGATAGAGGTGCACTTAGCCACCTAGAGAGGGAAGTCTTGAGGTGCCTAGTTTAAGTAAGGTACCTACTACGCATCATCCTGTGGTGGGTGATACCAAGACCCATGGCCCCACCAACCAGATAAGACAACTCAATCTGGGGCTATCAGCCTCGTATTCTGTCTGGCGCAAGGCTCGACAGAAAAAAAAAGAAGAAATGAAGGGGAAAAAAACCCCTGGCTTTGTCACGACCGTCGTATCCCTTGTCGCATACGAATGACACGCGACTGACGATACTACAATTGGTCGCATAGCCCAGCTTCTAGACAGCCGACACACTGGAGGGCCTTTTCAGGCTGTGGAGGCTCCGGACTTCTCAGACAAGCCGGCTCCTCGCCCGTCATTTTTCCTCGATAAGGATGGCGACAACGATCGAGACCCCAACCGCGGGGCTCGAGGCCGGAACAGCTGCAGCAGCCAAGCCCAAGCTGCACGGCCGGGCTTTCTACGAGAGCATTGGAAGCCCAAAGTACATTCTCGCACCCATGGTGGACCAGTCCGAATTTGTAAGTTTGGCGCAGCTCGTGCTGGTTTTTGTGAAAGGGCATGGTTTTGAACGGACCGCTGACGTTGGGCATCATCGTCGCAGGCCTGGAGAATGCTGAGTCGATCGTTCATACCGCCAGCTGAGCAGAAAAATCTGGTGGCCTACACGCCCATGTTTCACGCGCGACTTTTCAAAGATACGGAAAACTACCGCCAGTGCCACTTCCAGGCCGTGCGACCCGGTGACGCAAACGATTCCACCTCGACGCCGCAGGCCTGGCTCGACGGCAACCCTTCCATCGACCGCCCGCTCTTTGTACAATTCTGCGCAAACGATCCCGATGCTCTCTTGGGCGCTGCGCTGAGGGTTGCTCCGTACTGCGACGCCGTCGATCTCAACCTAGGATGCCCGCAGGGCATCGCCAAGAAGGGAAAATACGGTGCCTTCCTGCAGGAGGACCAGGAGCTCATTTTCAAGCTCATCAACACCCTGCACCGGAACCTGCCGATCCCCGTGACGGCCAAGATCAGGATACTGCCCACCAGGGAGGCGACACTCGCATACGCCAAGAATGTACTGTCGGCCGGTGCGTCGATCCTCACGGTTCACGGAAGGCTGAGAGAGCAAAAGGGCCACTTGACGGGCCTAGCAGACTGGAGTACCATCAAGTGGTTGAGGGAGCAACTGCCGCCGGAGACGGTGCTTTTCGCCAACGGAAACATCCTGCAGCATGACGACCTCCAGCGTGCGTTGGAGGCCACAGGCGCAGATGGTATCATGAGCGCCGAGGGAAACCTCAGCGACCCCACCATTTTCAGCCGCCCGCCCGAGCCCGGAACAGAGACGCGGGAGTACTGGCGCGGCAAGGACGGCAAGGGCGGGTACCGCGTGGACGCGGTAATGAGGCGGTACATGGATATCTTGCACAAGTACGCCGCGGGCGAGGAGCCGCCATCGAGGCGGCCCCTCTTCGTGCCCGGCGACGACACAGCGTGGATGAAGGAAATGGACAAGGCGCTGGCGGAAGAGGAAGAGCCGGAGCGCAAGAAGCGCAGAAAGGACACGCCCAAGCTGGGGAAGAGCCGGACCCTGAGCCCCAACTACTCGGCGATGCAGCCGCACATGTTCCACCTGCTGCGGCACTTCGTATCGAAGCACACGGACGTGCGAGACCTGCTCGCCAAGAGCCGTGCCGGGGACCTGGAAGCGTACGAGAAGATACTGAGCATGGTGGAGAGGAAGGTCGCGGACGGGCTGCTCGAGTACGAGAAGGCCGGACCCGCCATGTTCGAGGGCGACGAGGTCTTGGGCCCCACGGCGGACCCGGGCGAGGTGATCGAGGAGGACGGGGAGAGCTCCCGAGGCGCCATCAAGCGGTGCAAGAGGCCGTGGTGGGTCGTGCAGCCCATCATCCGGCCCCTGCCCAAGGAGGCCCTGGCCAAGGGGGCCGTGTCGATGAGCAAGAAGGACAAAGCCAAGATGGGCAAGGCCGAAAACGGCGAGGCTGCCGGCGGCGAGGCGGCAGCCGAGGCAGCGAACGGCAAGGCCAAAGGGGAGACGGCGGCGGGGCAGAGTGTTCAGGAAAAAGTGCTGGAGACTGATGACAAGTTACTCGCGGGCTGAAGTGATTCTCCATCACGAATTTTAAAAAGAATTACCATACAACAAAGAGTTTAGAAGAATATACCCCTCCCTCTTCCGAGATGTTTGATATAGGAACTTAGAGCCGAGGACTGGGCGGAGTAAGTCCCCCCTCCTTTGAGACTGGTGACTGCAGGGCCACCAGCCCCGGGAGGCTATCAGAGATGTTATACAAAAGCCAAGGCGATTCAGACGACCCTCTCTCTCTCTATCTCGTCAACCACGACCGCCGCCCACAGACGCCGTTTTTTTTTCTTTTTCTTTTTGTCACAACTTGGCCTTGGCGCTGTCGTACCTCTTTCCCTCGTCGTCCTGCTCTCTCACGGTGAGGTCCGGCAGCACCGCCGGCATGATCCTCCGCGGCCGCGCGCCGGGGACGAGAGCGTACTTTGAAAAGTCGGTGACGCCGGCGTGGTCCCGCAGGAAGTCCTCGTCCAGCACGAGCTCGCCGTTGACCCGGCCGGCCGGGGCGCGCAGGATCGCGAGCACGGCGTCGGAGAAGATGGTCGGCCGGCGCAGGTCCCTCGACTCGCCCGGGTCGGCGGCCTGGAACTTCTGCGTGGCGGCGGACTCGATGGCCTGGCACGAACGGTATCGTCGTCGTCAGCTCACAAAGTTTGTCTGATCGGACTAGGAGAGGGGGGCGTTGTGGCAGATGCAGGCGGAAACTTTGGGCTGTAATACATACCACGGCGGGCCAGATGCTCGTGATGGCCATCTCGTCCAGCCCCTGCCGGGCAAAGTCCATGGCCAGGCCCTTGGTCAGGACGCTCATGCTCACCTTGCCCATGGCGTAGGCCGTCTTGCCGCGGAAGAAGCGGCTATAGATGGGCGGGCTGACGACGACGACGCGGCCGCGACCGCGGTGCTTGAGGTGCGGGAGCGCCGCGTGGAGGGTCAGGTAAAGGCCCTCTGGGTTCACGCGCTGCATCAGCTGGAAGCGCTTGGGTGGCGTGTCTTCGACCGAAGACCACCAGATGGCGCCAGAGTTGTAGACCAGGACATCGAGGCGCCCGTACCTCTGGAGGGAAGGGGGAGGGATGGTGTGTTAGTCGGCTTCTGGCGGCGGATGAAGAGAGGAGCTGGGAGGACAAGAGGACCTACCTCTACCGTCTGCTTGACCATCCGTACCACGCTGTCCTGGTCGCGAACGTCTACAGCAATAGGGGTCGCGTCGCCGCCCGCTTCGTGGATCTCCCGGGCGACTGTGCTGACCGTCGACTGTTGCGAGTTGGGGTCCGGCGGGAACGGCGTGGTCTTGGACGCATCGCTGGTGGTCTTTGCTGCCACGACGACTAGGACTGGTCAACGATCAAGTCCATTTCTTCTTCTTTTGGTTGGGGACCATGAGCTCGAGAAAGGGGGGGGGGGGGGTCATCGGTACCCGTGTAGCCATTCTTTGCGAGGTCAATTGCGACCTGTCGACCGATGCCTCTGGAGGCGCCGACTACGAGAGCTACCTGCTTTCCGTCATCCATCGTTCCTGATATACTCCCTTGGAGGGATCAGTGATTATATTAAGTGGCTACACGAAGATGGAATCAGGACATGCGGATGCGCGATTAGAGGTGCAGAATCACCTGTCTTGTAATTGACGCACAGTCCCTTTTATCACAAGCTATTGAGGCATGAAGATGTGATCTGGAATAGTAAACATGTCGTTGGGGCTCGGCAGAATTGCGTATTAGTGATCATCGCGCCCTGGCTTGGAGCGACTAATGATGCTGCCCCCCCCCCCCCCCCCCCCCCCAAGCCGGGGCTAGCTATCCGACCCCGGATTCCAGCACTCGATGCCGAGGTTCCCCACGCCATCCACCTCAACTTCACCCTTCAACTCTCACAGCCCCCCCGTCTTGCCGCCTCAACACGTTCTGCAGAATAATTGCGCCATAGATAAGCTACGAACCAAACAGACCGATTGCCCTCCTTGCTCGTCCACTGCTTTGGACGAACCTCTGCAGCCATCTTGATCGTTCCGAACACCGCCAAGATGGGCGGCAGGGTCGATGCTTATTTAGACATCGGTGAGTCTTGGTTTACTATGAGTACATGTTGTCGCAGAGCTGACTGGTTCCCGGGCGCAAGCATCTCTATACAGCTACATCGCATTCTACCATATAATCAAGAACCAAGAGCTCCTTGCGGCGCATGGAGTCCATGTAGAGTTGGTTGCCGCATTTTCCTCCTTCAATGCCATCGCTTGGTAACACGCCTCTTCCTCAGCATCCATCCAATCCTGCTTGGCGCCGTCAACGCCGCTACAGGTAAGCAGCTCCTGACGCCGCCGTCCCGTTCTGCCCCTCCTCAATGACCATGCACAGGGAACAAACCACCATGGTCCCTCCCGGCCAAGGCCGTGTACGGCAGCTTTGACGCCCGCCGGTCCTCCGTGAGGGTGGGCAAGCCCGACATCACCCCGCCCGACAACTTCATGGAGAGCACCATGACGGTCCTTCCCCTCCGCGCGCTGCACTTCATCAAAGCCAACTATACGCACGCCGCGTACCTGACGGCCTGGCACTGGCTTCTCCACCGTTTCTGGGAGCCGCCCAATGTCAACCTCACCAAGCCCGACGCCCTGGCCGCGGCACTGGCCGACGCGCCGCGGCAGTACCCCGGCGACACCGAGGACCGGCTGTTCAGCGACGCGGACGTCAGGAGGATCCTGGAGGGGGCCGCGGCGCAGGAGATCAAGGACTCGGTCAAAGCGAAGACGCAGGAGGCGGTCGAGCGGGGCGCGTTCGGCGCGCCCTGGTTCTGGGTTGTCAACGACGAGGGCAAGGGGGGGCCGTTCTTTGGGAGCGACAGGTTTCACTTCATGTATGATCATTTGGGCGTCCCGTACCAGGATGTCGCCATCCTCCCGCCGCAAAGCAAAGGCGCGAAGCTGTAGGTAACTCAACACGAGTGGCTTTATTTGTAAATAGAATTCGGGGGTTGGGGGGTATCTCTGATAACTGAAAAAAAAAAAGACGAAAAAAAGTAAAAAATAAACGCCGAATCGTATACATGGCACGAGACCTTACGGCCTGCCAAAAAAAAAAAAAACCCCGGACTCGTCCCAATCTCACAGCACGCGGCCGGCCAACCTCGCGCGGCGGGCCTCCTCCTCCCTCTTGGCCTCGCTGCGCGCCAGGAAGTCCTGCCTCTCTGCGTACGACCCCTTGGCCCGGCCCGCCAGCTCGAGCTCGTCCTTGAGCCCCTCCTTGTCGACGAAGCCGGCCCAGTCCATCTTGCTCTTCTCGACCGTGTTGAGTTTCTTGGCCTGAGCCTCCTTCTCGCGCGCCTTGATCCGCACCGCCACGCCGAGGTTCAGGTCGGACCGCTGGCCCGCGACCTCGACGACCGGCTCAAAGGCCGACCGGAACGCCTTCCTGAGCACCCGCTTGGGCTCCTCCTCCTCCCCCTCCCCCCCGCCCCCCGCGTCCGCGGCGGCGTCCTTCCCGAGTGAGGCGAGGTAGAGCTTCGCCTCGGCCGAGGAGCGCGCCACGAGCTTCTCTTCCGTGTGGACCTTGCCGGCGAAGTTGTAGGTCCGTTTGATACGTATCATATCCGAGGGGTCGCCGCCGCCGAGGGCCTCGTCTGGCTTTGTCGCGTCGGCTTCGGCGCCGGGCTTCTTGGTCCCGACGGGGTCGGCTTCCTCGGTGGTCTTGTCTTCGGTGGTCGGCGGTGTTACCGTCTGGCCCGCGAGCATCTGTGCCCAGATCGCTTCGACGTCGACCGTTACCGGGCCGGACACTGCCGCCGTCTTGCGCTCCTGCTTTCTGTAGCCCCTCTCGTCAGTACGGTCGCTTCAACCGGCGCGGAGCCGGGAAAATAAAGAGAGAGAAAGGAAAAGGTGTCGACTCACTCTGCGGCGCGCATGCTCCGCGTCTTGACAAGCCCTCCATCGCCCCCCTCGTCCTCCTCGTCCGGGGCGGCGGCGGCGTCCGCATCCTTGGCCTTCCTGCGCCTCTTCTTCTTCTTCTTCGCCTTCTTGATCAGCGCCTCGTCGCCCGAGTTCTCGAAGCCCGCGTCTTCGGCCTCGCCGCCGTCGGCGTCGCGCTTACGTTTGGCGAGCTTCGTCGCCGCCGCCGTCGCGTCTTCGCCGTCGGTCTCGGGATCGGACGCCTCGGAGGCGCCATCTGCTGCGACGACGTCCTCGGGCGCGAAGTCGGAGTCCTGCGAGGACTCATACTCTTCGTCGTCTACTATTGGATCAGGTGGCATTTCTTTTTTGGTTGGATGTAAAGTGTATCGAGGACTGGAAGAATTGGTTACCGAAGGGAAGGGGGATGCAGACGCGCGCAGAACTGGAAAGTTTAGTCGGCTGCCGTCGGTACAGTGTTGACCGAATGTTCTTTGGTGGGACTCGGCGTGTGGCCAATCATGTCTCGAAGTACTTGTGCCTTGCCCAGACAGCGAGCCACCTAGTAGCCACTAGTGGTCTGTAGGAAACATTTGGGGACGCTCTGTTGAAAACCCCTTGTATCTTATCATGGTCTTCTCAACTGCACGTTGTGCCAGTACGCTGCGCGAAATGCATGCGCGACACTACAGCACCAATGTATACGTATGAATAACCGGATGCCAACAAAGACTCTGCCACGACGCACAGCCCCTCTATCGCAATCCAATCCCCTCCCCCCCGGCAACCCGTCTCACTTTACCCGGTTGAGGGCATCATGACTTTTGCTTCCTTGAGAGGGGGATCGACAAAAGATCCATTATTTGTCTATTTAGCCGGTCTCATGAACTCTAGCTTAACGCCATGGGAGCCTTGAAGACGCTTCTTTCTGGCTGGGCCTGCCCCCATGTCTTCCAGGCATTCGAATCCCTATGAAAGAGGGAGGGGTTGAGGCGTAGCTGTACCGAATCGTATCTTTTCACAGCAAATGTGACAGACTCGTTCCCCTTCGTCCAATAAAATGGCTGCGGAATGGTGTTGGTCCTGATTTCCCTTTCCCCGCACAAGCTGGGCATCCTGTTGCCACCAGTTCTAAGTTCGCGGGGCACATGTTCCCCTCCGTAGGGGTCTATAAGAACCTCCCTCTCAGTGCAAACGTCCCGGAATTCACTCCGTCCAGATTTAACGATATATGAGTTGGGCTCTGGCCGGTTCCTCTGTTATTTCTTTTCGTTTCCCTCGGCCAATATCTCAAACTGCTTGCTCATCGTCGACTAGCGCCTCTATCGGAGCTACCCACCTTATAGGTTGACTGAATAAGTTATTCTTCAGTTGTCCGCGGCCATGTCATGCCCGGCTGAGCCTCTCACTGAGTCTCAAAAAGAGCACTTCAGACAACATGGTTGGCTCAAGCTGAGCAACTGCTTTACCAAGGAACAGGCGGACTGGGTCACCAAGGATGTCTGGACACGACTGGGCATGGATCCCAACGACAGGTCGACCTGGAAGCCGCGAACAAACATGCCTCACCACCGCAAATTCGACGCTTCAGAGTTCGCCCCGAAGGCCTGGGCAGCCATATGCGAGGTGTGCGGTGGAGAGGACCGCACTACGCCCGAGTCGAAGCAGTGGCAGGACTCGCTCATCGTCAACCTCGGGAGCGAGGAGAACGAGGGCCGGGAGGTCGATCCCAAACAGTTGGACATCTGGCACGTGGACGGCGACTTCTTCGTCCATTACCTCGACTCCCCGGAACAGGGGTTGTTGGTCATTCCGCTGTTCACGGATATTGTCCCTGGCGGTGGCGCGACCTTCATCTGCCCGGAAGCGATACCCAAGATCGCGAAGCACCTTCACGACCACCCCGACGGCGTCTCGGTGCGAATGGTACCGAGAGGCGACCCGGAATTCGCAAAGCCGACGAGCCTCGACTGGTATAACTCGCTCGCCCGAAGCTGCGACGGGTTCGTCGAGGCCCACGGCAACGTGGGCGACGTCTATCTGCTTCATCCCCTCATGTTGCACACCGTCTCGTGGAACCCTCTTAGGCGGCTGAGAATTATCACGAACCCCCCGGTCTCTCTCATCCAGCCCCACGACTTCAACAGGCCGGACGGCGCTTATAGCCTTGTGGAGCAGGCCACCTTGAGGGCCTTGGGCGTAGAGTCGCTGCCCGAATGGAAGATTACGGCTGCCCGGGAGAAGGTCGTTCCAGAGAGGATCAAGGCGCAGGAGCGAATGAAGCAGGAGGAATTGAAGCGGCTTGCAGCTTTTGCCTCCTAGACAAATAGATATGAGTACAACATGAGTTCTCGGGATCTGTAAATCGTCAGGAAATTGATCAAGATCAACGCTCCAGGACCAAACCATGCACAAAATCCATCAACGGTTGTCCTAACGCCGACCTGCCGGCTCCTTCACCAGTGCACATTATCAGAAGCAGTTTGTCACGATACGCCACCCCTTACGGTGCAATAGTGCAACCTTTCTCGTATGCGAAGTAGTGGACTATCTTACTGGTCTGATGCATTGGTGAACTTTGTTGTCTAACGTCACAAGGGAGTCGTTATTACATGTGAAGTTGAAAGAACCCCCCCTTCCCCCAGAAAAAAAATAAGTGACATCAAGGGGTTTTCATGCCCAACCCCAGTAACACTAAGCCGGTATTGGACCGATCTCGTGGAGCCGCAACATATCTGCAATGCCGTGATATGACGATGATCTGGTTGGGGGAAGGAAGTCTGCATGTAGTGGTGGTCACGATTGGGGACAAATTGTGTGAAAGTGTTGTCCGCTATGCCTGTCTCGGAGCGTTTGATGATGGCGAAGTACAAAACAGGCAGGCTTGATGTCCTAGGATCAAATATCCGTCAGCGTCCTTCCTCGACTTCGACAACACACATTATCCTAGCATCTCGTTGAGTACACTAGTGAGTATGGGGGGCATGTTTCGTTAGCTTTCACACAGGCTTCTCCTTTTGAATGATATTACCATGAAATATGCATTGTCTTCAGAGTAATCAATGTTCTGACATGCGTCTCATTTATCACTGTTTAGAAACTGGTAACATCGTTATTCGGTAACTATCTCTCTAGAAGACCACTTTATTCCCTTCGCTATCATAATGATAAGATATTTACGGAACAAAAGTGTGTTCGTCTCATACATATCCCATGACGCAATTAGTCGATTGTGGACGATTATGGCTATGTGGCTATACTACGTCTATAAATTATGTACGGTTCTGCTCGTTTCCAACTCCCCAAGAACCTCAGCCACATGTGCCACATACAAGGTCAGATCCTTGGCCAAGTACTGACATGTCTTTCGAGTCAAATAAACCAAACGGGACACAATGGCTTAAATCAACAGTATCGAGTACTTCCGTGTGCTACGACGTTGGCTCTTTGTCAAAATCATCGACGAGAATGCTATCATGGCTGAGGTGAAGCTACCCTGGAGGCCATACTCAGGTAGTCGAGGGACGTCTCGAGATCTACAAAGGTCAATTAGGTGCATTGCCGAAGAACTGCGAGATGCGGTTCACGTCCGGCTTCGACGGGCGGTGAGATCCGGGAATGGCGACTTGAGATTGAAGTATACTTACGGCCGAATCTCTCAAAGTGCCAGTATCGAGATGAAGAATTTCGGTCATTCAGGGGTACGCAATAGCGAGGTGGATCGAGAAGGTCCCTTTCATTCGCGTGCAACACATCATCTTACAAATGCGATGCATTCCTTGATGCCGTGAGGAACTGCCGTGGTTCAATTCGTGGAACAAGGTTAGCCACAGATTGTTCTTCAGGTTTTCATATGCCGACCGACCGATCGACCACTTTACTGGAAGCGACTGGGTAGCTTCCTGTCCTAGCGGTGTCTTGCCTTGCGCTGATGATCTGTCGTGAGGTTGACCATGAACCGTTGGGCGCTTTGACCACCGCCTTCACCAAAGGTACTCAGCGCTAATCAAGTTTCGGTTAGGCATACGGATATAGGGCCCCTGCTGCAGTGCTCCTGCCTGACATCACCCCCATCTCCAGTCACTTACGTACCTGGCTGGCTTGGGTAGATATTGTGACCATATCCGAATTATTCTTTTTCCAGTTTTCCTCCTGACACGCCTCCTGGCCTCCTCACACACCCGAGAATACCACCACAATGAGCAGCGACGGCGAGGATTTCGTGGTCGAAGGCCCCGAGCTGGCCGAGGACGATCCCATGCGCGCATTCCTCCCAGCTTCATTTGGGAAAAAGTCAAAGGAAGCCAACATCGCAGCTCAGATCGACCGGAGCCGAAGAACCGCAGAGAAGCCCTCGACCGGGACGCCCCACGAGGCATCCGCAGCAGGTCCGCCATCAGCTGCCCAGAAGGCGAAAAAGCCCGACTCAGACAGTGACAGTGGTAGCGACGGGTCGGACTCGGACTCTGACGACTCTGAAGATGGCGATGACTACCCAGTCTCGCACGAACTGGTTCTGAAAACACACGAGAGAGCCGTGACGACGGTCACGCTGGACCCGGCCGGTGGAAGACTCGTGTCAGCGTCGCTTGACTGCAAGATCAACCTGCACGATTTCGCATCCATGACACCGAGTACTCTCCGAGCATTCCGAAGCGTCGACCCATGGGAAGCCAAGTCCTCTGCGGTGAACTCCGAATCGCACCCGATCCACCATGTCGAGTTCAACCCCCTATCCGGGAGCGTCTTCCTCTGCGTCTCCGCCCACCCGCAGGCCAAGATCATGTCGAGGGACGGCGATATTGTCACCGAGTTCGTCAAGGGAGACATGTACTTGAGGGACATGAACAATACCAAGGGCCACATCTCAGAAGTTACGACAGGGACTTGGCACCCCAATGACAGAAATCTATGCGTCACTGCCGGCACTGACAGCACTCTCCGGATCTGGGACATCAATAACAAACGCAGCCAAAGGGACGTAATTGTCTTCAAGTCGAAAGCAGCGGGGTCTGCGGGCCGAACAAGGATGACTGCCGTCGCATGGGGCGCGCCAGCACAAGCTGGTAGCAACGTGCTTGTTGCCGCTGCACTCGACGGCTCCCTGGTCATGTATAGCGGCAACAGCCCGTTCTCAAGGCCCTCGGCCGAGATCCGAGACGCTCACAAGCCGGATACCTGGACTGGAGGCATCGATATCTCTTCCGACGGTCGGATGGTAGTAACGCGAGGAGGCGATAACACGATCAAGCTGTGGGATACGCGAAAGTTCAAGACGCCTCTTGTCACGGTGGACCATGCGTCAACGTCGGATCATTTCCCCATGAGCAACATCAAATACTCGCCAAACTCGACCAGCATCCTGACGGGCTCGGCAACGGGCGACCTGCACATTTTGAACCCTGGAAACTTGCGGCCCGAACACGTCACGCCCATCACTCCAGGGGCGCCCCTCATCACCGTCAACTGGCATCCCAAGATCAACCAGATTATTACGGGTTCAGCGAACGGCGAGACACATGTGATGTACAACCCGACCATGTCTACTCGGGGTGCTGTCGAGGTGATGTCGCGGGCGCCGAAGAAGCGGCACATTGACGACGACCCTTCTCGAACTACGGACATGTCTGTTGGCATGTCGGGAGACTCCATCGTTACACCGGGCAGTGCGATGGCTGGCAGGAGAAACGCGGGAGTGACGGCGTCAGGCAAGTCTCGAGACCCCAGGAGACCGGCTGTGCTGGAACAGACACCATTTATGAGGAACCAGCCCGACGAAAAGCATATCGCAGAAAATATTCCTCTGGCAAAGATGCTCCACGAAGATCCAAGGGAAGCACTTCTCAAATATGCCGACGCTGCGCAGAAAGACCCCATGTTCACTGCTGCGTGGCAGAAAACGCAGCCAGTAACCCAGTACGCGGATGTGAGCGACGGCGAAGAGGCAGGGCCCGACAAGAAGAAGGTGAAGCGGTAAGGAATGGGGCGGGCCGATCTTACGCCTCGGCCGGCAGCTGCGCGTGGTATTTCGTGGGGGGGGGGGGGGGGGGGGGGGAGGGGGCACGGTCGGAGGGAGCATGAGTCTAAATTTGGAGGAGGAAAGGGCAAACATTGGCAGGATTGCACTCCTTGGAGTCGGGGCGAGCTAACCAAGGGATCAGCAGCAGGACACTGGAGAGCTGGAGGAGACCGAGGTGGCAAGAGTTCTTTGCGGCCTGCGTGTTTCCAAGGGATCTATCTCTCCACTTGTTCATCTTTCCATCAGATTAGCTTCGCTGGGAGCAGCCGTCGAACGCAAGGCGACAGGCAAAGCACTTGCAGGAGTGTGGACATCCCCGCCACGGCCAACTCATCAGGCCAGGCCCGCCGGGGCGGTGCCTTAGCCAACGAGCGACTGGAGGCCCATGACGAGAGACTGACGCGCCTCCAACCCGCTGGCAACTCCTGGACCCTTTACTTTTTCTCTCTCCTACCTAACTGGAAGCGAGAGGCGACAGATGCCAAGTGGCGTGGATCCGGCGGCATTCCTTGGTGGTGGCCGATAGTTACCCGACCCGACAGGACAAGGCCACACGCGTTTGACACCCGTGCTTACCCTCCTCTATGGTGTGGTATTGTAGACGGTTTGAGGAGGCGCAGGCTGGCAGGGTGTGTGGCCGGGTTAGTAACCGAAGCCCAGCCAGCCAGCCAGTCGGCCACCAGTGCCTGTCTGCAATAATGCACGGAAAAGCCTGGCCCGAGCGTTCTCGCTTATACGTAAACAGACTAGCGTCTCATGCCTCAGGCATCCATAATCTTTCCTGTGCTGAGAATTACGGGGGGCCGCAGTTTCACAGACTGACCGCACCAACCATCAATGAATCTTGTTGTCCTCACCTCTCCATCTCAACCGACACCGCGCGCATCGAAAAATCGCCAAACCCCCTCCACAGGCATCGATACCCATCTCGAAAAGTGTCGAGCAACCTTTTCCACGCGATTTCCTCGCGCATCCCGCTCGAGGCAACGCCTTGACGCCGCGCCTTTTCCCTCCCCCCCCCACTCCCGTTTTTCGCCTCGCGTCCCATTCATCGTCCACGCATTTTTTCCCCCACGCCTCGCGGCACCGCATTCGCATCCCCCATTTCCCATCGACCTCTGCCGCCGAACTCCATCCTTCCATCTCGGTGAGCTTGATTCTACGCGACCGACGTGCCTCCGTTCCGACCACGCCATCGCGCTTGCCGCCTCCGGACCACATCGCCGCCTCAAAGCCGTCCGTCACGAGGACGACGCGCCGCATTTTTATCGTCCACTGTCACTATTAGCCTTCTAGTCTCTCTTTCCGCGCGACGGGCCCGGCGCGACCAACCTTGACCACGGCTCCACTTGTCAACACTTGACACGCCCTTCGCATGATAATGCGCGCGAGACCGTCGTTGCATCTCTAGAGATACACGTAGTCAATCGATTTGCAGTTAAACACTGCCCATCATGGCTTCCGTTCAGGCGGCCCCTGCCGTCCAGCTCCCTGGCGCCGGCATGGCAGCCACCACTCCTCAACAGGCTCAAGAGATCTTCAACGTAAGACCATTCTGCACACAGCTTTTCCCACCTCTTACGCATTCTCGTGATCCCTGCACATCCTTTTCGTCAATTTTTTATCGATGATGCTAATGCCTCCCAGAAATTTAAGCAGATGAGGGAGAGTGGCGTCCCTAACACCGATCCCGAATACATCAAGGCCGAGCAATTCGTTCTGTCCTTCCAACAACAGGCGCGTCTGCGACAGAAGCAACAGGCGTTCCTTCAACACCAGCAGCAACAGATGCAACAACAGCGACAGATGCAGCAGGGCGGACCCAACGGTGCTGTAAATGGCGCGCATCCCGTCCAGCAGCAGCAGCCCCAACAGCAGCAGCTGCTGCAGCCGCCGCCAACTCCGTCTACACAACCTCCCGCGTCTGGTGCGCTTGGCGGCTCTGCGCTTCCCTCAGCGAGCTCAAATATCACAGGCCCTACCGCCGGCTCACCGTCCACGACTGCCCCTTCCAGCGGGCCCGGCGCTGGTCAATTCAACCCTCAGCAACTGAGTTTGCTTCGCCAACAGATACATGCATTCAAGCTGTTGACCAAGAATGCCGGCGTTCCCTTGCAGATGCAGCAGGCCATCTTCGCTCAACGCGAGCGAAGGAAAGCCATGGCCGCCGAGGCAGCCGCTCTGGCAGCTTCATCAACACCGGCAGCTGCTTCTCAAGACTCTGCACAGCCCGGTCCGAATGGCGCCGAACCCAAGTCCGAGCCTCCCGAGGTTCAGGGACCAACTTTCAAGGCCGTCAAGTCTCCTTACAATGACCCCAACCTGATCCGCAAGTCAATTAGCCATTTCGACCACACCCAGCGTAAGAACCGGAAGCTCATTCCCGGACTTTTCCCAACGGGTGTGGACTTCGACCAGCTGCGGTACGAAAGGGAAGTGATTTTGTTCAGCCGGATGCGCGACCGTTACGCTGAGCTCAGAAACACCCCGGCAAACATCGCCCACTGGGACACCACCAAGGACGATGTCGAGCTAGATGACAGTGCCAAGGTCAAGGCCATTATTGAGATGAAGAGCCTGGGCTTGTACGCCAAGCAGAGGGCGTTACGCGACAAGATCGGACGCTCGATGATGTTTTACGACAACCTTGCCATGACCACCAACCGTTCCAGCTACCGCCGCACAAAGAAGATGACGGTCCGTGAGGCCCGGATTACTGAAAAGCTTGAGAAGCAACAACGCGACATCCGGGAGAACCGCGAGAAGAAGAGACACACCGACTTTCTCGCTGCCATTACTCAGCACAGGAACGAGATCCAGCAAACCGCCGCCAGCCAGCGCAACAAGTCGACCAAGCTTAACAAGCTTATGTTTTCTCAGCACTACAACATCGAGAAGGAAGAGCAGAAGAGAATCGAGCGTACCGCTAAGCAGCGTCTGCAGGCCCTCAAGGCCAACGACGAAGAAGCGTATCTCAAGCTGCTCGACGAAGCCAAGGATACCCGTATCACTCACCTTCTCAGGCAAACCGATGGATTCTTGCGCCAACTCGCCGCCTCCGTCAAGTCCCAGCAAAGGAAGGCCCTTGCAGAGCAAACCGGCGAGGAACAGATGCCAGAGGAAGAGGAAGAGGAAGAGAGCGAGCCGGAAGATGAGGGCGACACGAGTGGAAGGAAGATCGACTACTATGCTGTTGCCCACAAAATCAAGGAAGAGGTCACTGAGCAGGCCGACATACTCGTTGGTGGCAAGCTCAAGGAGTACCAGATCAAGGGTCTCCAGTGGATGATTTCACTGTACAACAACAACCTCAACGGTATCCTGGCAGACGAGATGGGTCTCGGCAAGACCATCCAGACCATCAGTTTGGTTACTTACCTCATCGAGCGCAAGAAGCAGGAAGGGCCGTACCTGGTCATTGTGCCTCTTAGTACTCTGACCAATTGGACACTCGAATTCGAGAAGTGGGCCCCGTCTGTTAGCAAGATCGTCTACAAGGGACCTCCTCTTGTCAGAAAACAACAGCAGGACCAAATTCGGCAAGGACGCTTCCAAGTGTTGCTCACCACGTACGAGTACATCATCAAGGACCGCCCAGTTCTTAGCAAGATCAAGTGGTTTCACATGATCATCGACGAAGGTCACCGCATGAAGAACCAGAACTCAAAGTTGACGTCTACCATCCAGCAATACTACCACACCCGATTCCGCCTCATTTTGACCGGTACCCCGCTGCAGAACAACCTGACTGAGCTTTGGGCCATGCTCAACTTCACACTTCCCACCATCTTCAAGTCTGCAAAGACTTTCGATGAATGGTTCAACACACCTTTTGCCAACACCGGCGGGCAAGACAAGATGGACCTCACGGAAGAAGAACAGATTCTCGTCATTCGTCGTCTGCACAAGGTTCTCCGTCCCTTCCTGCTCCGTCGTCTGAAGAAGGACGTCGAAAAGGACCTTCCGGACAAGACGGAAAAGGTCATCAAGTGCAAGTTCTCGGCCCTGCAAAGCAAGCTGTACAAGCAGATGGTCACGCACAACAAGATTGTCGTCAGCGACGGACAGGGCGGCAAGGCTGGTGCTCGTGGCCTGAGCAACATGATTATGCAGCTTCGCAAGCTTTGCAACCATCCCTTTGTTTTCGGCGAGGTCGAGAATACCATGAACCCCCTGAACATCAGCAATGACATGCTCTGGAGAACAGCTGGAAAGTTCGAGCTCCTGGACCGTGTTCTTCCCAAGTACAAGGCAACGGGCCATCGCGTTCTCATGTTCTTCCAGATGACGGCCATCATGGACATTATGGAAGACTACCTTCGATACCGCAACCTGAAGTATCTCCGCCTGGATGGTACGACCAAGTCAGACGAGCGTTCTGATCTGTTGCGCGAGTTCAATGCCCCTGACTCTGAGTACTTCATGTTCTTGCTTTCGACCCGTGCCGGTGGTCTTGGCCTCAATTTGCAAACCGCCGACACTGTTATTATCTACGATTCCGACTGGAACCCTCATCAAGATTTGCAAGCTCAAGATCGTGCCCATCGTATTGGACAAAAGAACGAGGTTCGCATTCTGCGTCTCATCAGCTCCAACTCGGTCGAAGAGAAGATTCTGGAAAGAGCCAGGTTCAAGCTTGATATGGACGGCAAGGTCATTCAAGCCGGTCGTTTTGATAACAAGTCCACGGAAACGGATCGTGACGCCATGCTGCGAACCCTTTTGGAAAGCGCCGACCTCGCAGAGACGGGCGAGCAGGATGAGATGGATGATGAGGAGTTGAATATGCTCCTCGCCCGTAGTGACGATGAGGTGGCCGTCTTCCAGAAGATCGACGAAGAGCGCAGGAGGGACCCGATCTATGGCGAAGCAGCTGGCGCCAAGGCCAAGCCTCGTCTTTTGGGAGAGGACGAACTTCCCGAGATCTATCTCGGAGACGGCAACCCGGTGGAAGTAGAGGTTGAAACGAGTCTCGGACGCGGGGCCCGTGAGCGAACCAAGGTCCGCTACGACGATGGCCTCACGGAGGAGCAATGGCTCATGGCTGTTGACGACGACGAGGACTCACCCGAGGCTGCTGCTGCACGCAAGCAAGCCCGCAAGGACAAGAGAGAGAACAACCGACTCAAGAGAACAGCCTTGTCGAATGCCGCAGAAGTGTCTCCTTCAGCAAGCCGCGCAAGTACCGAGGAGGTGGAAACCCCCAAGAAACGAGGTCGCAAGCCCGGCAGCAAGAACCAGGAGAAGCGCAAGGCAGACGATGGCGAGGATGAACCACCAGCCAAGAAGCGCCGCGGACCGCAAGGCAGACCTAAGGCGGTCTCCGTCTCTGCCGGATCTGGCGCGGCGGGAATCTCGGCACAGCAGCGCCAATCCCTCCAGGCGAGCGCGCGTGCTTTGTTTGACGGACTCATGAACCTCGAGGTCGACGATCCCGAGCCCCCAGAGGAGGAGGACGACGAGTCGGTGGCGGGCAAGCGGATCATCATTGGTCCCTTCCTCGCCCTACCCCCCAAGCGCGACTACGCCGACTACTATCTGATCATCCAGAACCCCATCTCGATGAAACAGATCGAGCAAAAGATCAAAAAGCAACAGTACTACAGCCTCGGCGACATGTGCAAGGATGTTGATCTCATGTTCAGCAACTGTCAAACGTACAACGAAGAGGCGTCGCTGCTGTATCAGGATTCCCTGACTCTTCAGGTTAGTCACGGCGCATTGGGAATATCGATGTTGATGAACGGTTCTAACTTTGACGCAGAAATTCTTCCACGAAGAGTTGCAGAAGGAGCTGGAGAAGCACCCGGAGCTGCAAGACCTCGAGGGCAATGGTGCCAAGGAGACTTCTGTGGCACCCAGCGCAAGTGCGAGCGTCGGCACACCGCAGCCCGTAACATCGGCCACGAGAATCAAGCTGATCTCTTCGGCTTCAAACGGGGCCAAAGAAGCGAATGGGGGAAGCAACGGCGCTCAGAGTGACCAGGAGTAAGCGGGCTCGGCTTGTTTGGTTTCGACGTTTCAGTGATCACATTTGACGTTTGATGACGTTTGAGTGGTTTTTCCATTTCTTCGGGGTTTGATGCCAGAAAACAACAAAACGGTAATGGCGTACAGTCAAGGGCTGGCCTTGGTGCAAAGCGCCGGACGGCTCAACGACCGTGAGAGCATCAAAGACTGCTGGACATTTACAGGCGTATGGGTTTTCGGTTTTTTTTTTTGGAACATGTAAAGGTTACGGCGGGAATGGCACTCGATACAAATACCATGGGCCAGAATTTGGGCCACAGAGGCAGAAGTAGTCAGTTGAATGGCGGGGGTGTTGGGTGATGGTGGTGGTAGTGTTGGATGGCGCGGCGGAGGAGGGATTCTGCCTCGATTCACGGAAGCAGATATTCGTCGCAAGTTTGTTAGACTAGCAAGCAAGTGTATTTTAATAGATGTGAGCATGACGGGAACAAGACATGTTTTTTCAACTGTACCAATCTACCAAAAGGAAATGTGCCAGATGGATTGGACGACGGCACGGACCGAGACGTTTCGTTTCGAAGGTTGACTGGTGAGGCAAGTCAGACTACGATGACAAGACCCCGTCCACGATTTCGCTGCCTTTGGGAATTGCGGTGAATGGGTGATTAATTAGATGATGGGAAATCCCGTAGGGAAGGGCCCTGCAATACGAGTGCCCAATGACCAACTAGTGCGGGACAGTACCACGGCTTCACACCAGATGTGTGTGTGTTCTGTTAAATTGGTTAATCGAGGGGGCTGGGGGTGCGACTGTGAGGTTGGCCGAACAGACAGGCCGAGGGTGGCGGTGCTGTCGACCCTCTCACCTCTTGTCTCTCATCTCCCTCTCGCGCTCTCATGCTTCGTCTCGGCCGCCCTCTCATATCACACATCTCATCAGTCTCGCTGGCCTAGGTGGCCTGCGCGTCGCCTATCAGAATCCCTCTTTCCCTCCCCCGTTTCATCAACAACTAATTTCATCATCACTCACCATTATCCGAATTGAACACTTGCTCCCTCTCTCTCTCTCTCTCTCTCTTTCTCTTTCTCTTTCTCCTTCTCTCATCACCCACCAGATGCCGATCCCACACATCACACCTGCACAGTGCCCTGGCGACGGTATTGGACTTTTGCTTTAACCCTGCGTTCATCGCCTCAGAGACATCCGTCGCACGGTCTTACCGAGCCACCCTCACTAGTGTCGCGGCGCAAGGGCGCCCAGAGAGAAGGGCAAGAACGAAAAAAAAAAAAAAAAAAAGCCCCGAGAGAGGCCCAACTATATACAATCGACCTGCTAAGCGCAGCGGCGTTCAAGCTTCCTCGCGCGAGCGCCGCCCAAAGCGCATCTGCATCTGCACCTGCAGTTCGCACCTGCAGGTAGCGTGCAACACAACTCATACGAATAACGCACCAGGGCTGTTGGAAACCAGCCAAGCTCATAAACGATGGACCATCCGAGTCCGTCCGCCCGCAGTGGCGCCGGAGGCGGCGGTGGTGGTACGGCAGCGATCAGACGAGAGGGACCAGCAGGGGGGCCGGACGCAGTATCCGACGAAAGCTCAGCGAGCTCCATGTCGGACGACGAGGACGACGCAGGCGCTGGATATAGACCCCAGACGCCCACGCCCCCGCCCCAGCGACGACAGCAGCAGCGACAACAACAACAGCAATCACCACCATACCATCCGCCACCGCCGAGGGGCAGCAGGGAAAAGGACATTCGTGTCGAACGACATCGCGAGCGCGATCGGGAAAGAGACCGCGACCGTGATCGGGAGCGTGATCGGGACCGGGAGAGGGACCGGGACAGGGATAGAGACCGCGATCGGAATCGGGAGCCGGAATTCAGGAGGGGAGAACCACAGTCGCCGCCGTTGGACAGGGACCGCGGTAGCCCACCGACCCCGAGGGATGTAAAGCGGCAGAGCTTCGCGGTGGACGACAGGCACTACAACAGCGGGCACGGAGGCGGCAGCAGCGCCCACCACAACGGCCACGTCCGACGACGACAGCAGAGTGTGCCGCCCAACAGCGCCCTCAACGGCGCCAAGCGGCAGAGCATCACGGAACGGCTCATGAGCACCTGGACGGCGCGCACGGCCAAGGAACCGGTGGGTTCCGCGCCGTCTGCGATGCCGCCCTCACGCCGCGCCTCATCGGCGTCGACGACGGCGAGCAAGTTCAACCCGGTGGGCCGCGTGCGCGAGTGGCTCGACACATGCAACGCTGAGCACGGCGACCACTGCTCCGCCCCGCCGGGGGACACGTGGCGGCCCATATGGCTCATCGACTCGGTGAACCGGTGCCTAGTGCGCGCGCGCGCGGCGGACCGGTACATCGCGCTGAGCTACGTCTACGAGCCGCCGCTGCCGAGCTCGAGGGGCCCCGTCGAGACGCTCAGGGGGAACCTGGAGATGCTGACGGCGAGCATGGACGACGCGGACGTGCCGCAGACGATAATGGACGCCATGTGGCTGGCGAGGAAGCTGGGGATCAAATACCTCTGGGTGGACCGTTTCTGCATCGTGCAGGACGACGACGTCGAGAGGGAGGAGCACGTCAAGAACATGGCGTACGTCTACGCCAACGCCTACCTGACCATCGTGGCCGCCATGGGGGACGCGGAGAAGGGGCTGACGGGGCTGCTGAGGAGGACGCCGCCGCCGCGCGGGGCCGCGTCGAGGAAGCACGACGACCTGGTGCTCTCGTCGCTGTGGGCGGGGCGGGCGTGGACGGTGCAGGAGGGCATGTACTCGCGGCGCAAGGTGTACGTCTTCGAGGAGACGGTGGCGTGGGAGTGCCACTGCGACGTCTGGCAGGGGTCGCCGGCGGGAGGGGGACGCTTCAGCAAGATCCTCAAGGGCGGGGGGCGCGGCGGGCCCTGCCAGCAGCGGACCTTCCCCGCGGCGACGGGGTACCTGCACCCCGTGTGGCCGGACATGGACGAGTACGCGCGCATCGCGATGGAGTTCAGCGCGCGGCGGGTAACGCTCATGTCGGACACGACGCGGGCGTTGCGGGGCATCACGACGGTGCTCTCGCGGTCGTTCGTGGGCGGCTTCATCTTCGGCATGCCGGTCAGCTTCCTCGACGTCGCGATGCTGTGGCAGCCGCGGGCCATGGTGAGGCGGCGGATGATGGTGCAGCCCATGACGGGGATGAACCCGCTGCCGTCGTGGAGCTGGCTCGGCTGGCACTACGACGGCGTGCCCGCGGACCTGACGCTCTGGCGCGCCGCGGCCGACTACGTGCAGGACGCGCCGCCGTCAGGGAAGAAGGGCGCCGAGAGGCGGTTCAGGAGCCCCTACGCCTTCCGGCTGCGGTCGCTGGTGAGCTACGAGCTGACCGACCGGGCGACGTACACGCCGCTGCCCAACGACGGGATGGCGTACCGCGACCGCAGGCACCGGAGGGCGGTGCCGCTGCCCGCGGGGTGGTCGAGGAGCAACGGCGGGTTCCGGTACGCCGGGGACCCGGAGGTCATGTTCCGGTACCCGGTGCCCGTGGCGGAGATGGCCGGGGCGGACGAGGGCGCGGTGGGGGGCTCCTCGCCCTTTGGGGACTTTGCGATGAGCGCGACGCTGCTGTCGTTCAACACGTCCATGGCATTCCTCGAAGTCGACTTCGCCACGGCGCGCAACGGGGCGCCGATCGACGCCAAGGCGGCCAACGCCGTCAACACGGGGAACAACACGGGCCCGGGGGCGGGGCTCGTGGCGCCGGGGCGGGGGTACGGGGTGCCGCTCGCGGTCGGCAACATCTGGTCGCGGACGGGCAAGTGGTGCGGCGTCGTGACGGCGCACGACAGCTGGCTGGGCCTGCAGGGCGCGAACCACACGGGGGAGGAGAAGCTCGAGTTCATCGCCATTTCGATGGCGAGCGAGCGGGGCGGCAGCCACGTGTTCGACCTGGACGCGTTCCGGGACAACATGGACGAGGACGAGATCGTCGACTTTGTCAACGTCCTGTGGGTGGAGCGCGTGGGCGGCGTGTGCTACCGGAGGGGCCTGGGGCACGTCGTGCAGAGGGTTTGGGATGCCGTGGCGAGGGACCGGGTCGACGTCCTTCTTGGATAGGAGAGAGATTGTATACCAGGGGGGTGTTACGATGTAAGGAGATATATAATACGATGGGGATGGGGTTGGGGTTGTGGTTGTTTTGGTGGTGGGCTGGGCGGAAGGCATGGATGTATTTTTTTGACGGGGAGGAATCTCGGAGTTGGGCTGGGCCGCCTACTGTGGGCGAGGCGATCGGTGTCTAGATCTTCTGTACGCGATATATGTTCCGTGGAGTGGGCAATTCTGTGTTTAGTATAGCTTCACAGCGAGTTGTATATTGGAAAGCCCGTCGATACGACGGGGCGTGTTTGAGCTGCCACGACCTAACACCTCCTCCCCCCCCCCCCCCCCCAGCTCTCCCTTGTTGCCCCTCCTGATATGTGGTTTCACCGCAGCTTGATGGGGACAATTTTAATGACCTACAGAGAGACTGCACCTCGGCGGGGGTTGGTTCCACCTACGGTTGGCATCGAGGGGGGAAGCCGCAAACCATCGTCCTCAGTTGCATCGCGGGGTGCATGCAGTCTATGCACGACAGTACTAGGTCAAAAGTCTGGCTACAGCAACAAGGATGGCCAACCAAAAGCTATAGTAGGTGTTCGAGACACGGGGCCTTTGGTGGTGCACCGTGAAGTGACCTCGAGCTATTAACAGGTCCCCTCTTGGACTCTGCGTTGGGTTATCCTTATTGCTGCAGACGGACTTTTGACATAGTACGGATACTGTATATGTCTATTGGAATCCGGTCCAATGAGGGTAAAGGACGGTCACGCTCTAGAATGCAAAGCGAGGAAAGAAACATACCTTATTACTCCATACACTCACTATCGTGCCCATTTCTCAAAAAAAAAAAAAAAAGCGATGTCACTTGGAAGAAGTAACTGTCAATCTCCAAGGCGCCTGCCTGCAAATCCCAACATAGGCTAGCTTACACAGAGACAAGACCACTTTCAAGCCTGTGGCATTCCTAGTCAGGTACAAAGGTTCTGGAAGACGTCCACTCATCGAGGGGACCCACCTTTTGCCGCCTGGCCGCCCTCTTCTGCACCAGACATAGGATGCTAACTGACGCTGCTTATTCAACGAACATGTCCGGGCGCATGGTGTAGTGGTATCACATTCGCTTTGCATCTACACGTCTCTGCGAAAGGCCCAGGGTTCGATCCCCTGTACGTCCATGATCAAAGCAACTGCCCCAGTAGTTGCGCACTGCTTTTTGCCATTCACTCCATTTTTGGGACTTGCCAATATCTCGCTCCTGACACTTATGCATATGCACATGCACATACGTACTACACATCCCTCTCTGAGTTGAGCACAACCAGACAACGAAAACTTTGTGAGATTTCCCTTGGGACTGAGCACGTCAACTCTGTTAAAACGGCATCGCTAGCCTTTACCGAATAACGAATGCCGTCACGTTGGGCAGACCAGGTGCCATCGACGCCGATGGCCTCGCGTGCAGGTGCTCTCTGCTCTAGTCGCCAAGTGTCTCTTTGGCTACGACGACGAGGATAATATCCTCGCTCAATGGCGAAGACCCTGGAGAAGATTGACAACCGACATAGAGCCAGGGCGGGGCCGAGCGCGTTCGAGGCCGCAGCAAGCCCGGAACCCGGCAGCCGACCGAACTTCCTGGATCAGCCCCCTCGTGATCGTGATCGAGGGTCCTTCCACAAGGCGGAATGACCCGTTTTGCTAATCAAGATCGTAGGCGGTCAGGTTGCGAGCGACAAGGCGACATCTTGACCCACTTGCAGAAGTTTCAACGCCTTTCCATGACAGGCTTTTGATGTTCGTCTGGTGATGATGCTCTTCACCCCCTCCCCCCATGCGATGCGGACTTGTGGTTTGGCCACTGATGGCACATTGGTATGGAGTGATGGTTAAGCGGGTCGGCAGAAGGATTGGCCCCAAGATTTGGACCGATATCCGTAACCAATACGGTCCCTCTTGGGGGTTGCAGCGATGATAGAATAACACAGTAGGAAAACACAGTCAAATGTATCATGCCAACTACTCACACCACGATTTCCGAAGAAAAGAAAACAATGACATCGGCGACACGGCGTATACAGTAAGGGTTGTGATGATGGAGTCGGGATCTCAACCATCTTTCCCGACGAAGATCCCGAAGAGATCGGATGCCTTCAGCGTCTCCGGGCCGAAGAGTCAGGAAGGGGAGTGGGGGAAAACACATGTGGACTCGGACTGCTATTAACGTCACGACTCCACACCTTCCACTTCTCCGACGTACATCAACGAACTTGCCGTGGGTCGAACCGGAACTATTTTTCTTCTTCTTCATAGCATCATACGAACGAACGAGAAGAAAAATAAGAAAAAGAAACCGCGACGAAAATGGATCGCCTCGCCGCTACGGAAGGCGTCGAGCCGCACGACAGCTACTCCCGGATGGAGCCGTTCTCCGCCAGCGAGACGGCGATCGAGCGGGACCTCCGGCTCCGGATACGGGACTTTTACCGAACCAGCGACCGGCGCGACCAGGACGAGCGCTGGCTCGATTTCTACACCCCCGGCGCGAGGGCCAAGGTCGGGGCTCAGGAGGGCGAGACGCGTGAAAGTACGTCTGCGGTGGCCATGTCGAGCACGGTTTTGGTGGGGGTTCTCTTTTTTCTTCTTTGCGGAGGGCTGACTGGGTGAGCAGACATCCGGCAACTACGCACGGCGATGTGGAGCACCGTGTCGGCCAGGAAGCACTGGCTCACAAGCGTGGTCGGCTCAGCTACCGAGAAGGGGGTGCACGTCATGTTGAGGGGGGGAGTAAGGCGCAAGGGGCTGGACGGGAGCGAGGACGTGTTCAGCTGGGCAGGTAGCGCAGAGTGGGTGAGGCAGGACGGGGAATGGCGGATGGATGCATATCGAGTCTGGCTCGACCCGTGGACTGAGATCGAGGGCGAGCTGCCTGCTGTGTCGCACTTCTGAGGAGGTGCAATATGCGACGGCGGACCCGGCCGAAGCAAATACTTCAGCGCAGAGATGCGCGCGCTGAATGAAGGGTGGGAATTGGTAAGACCGGCGACATCCAACCACCGGAATACGGCACTGCGTGCTTGACAGCTGGCGCAATGTATGTGCTTGTGTTGGGTGTGTTTGTATGTGTGTGCGCGTTTTGTAGCCAGTGTTTCACCGATGACTGTCTTTCTTTCTTTCTTTCTTTCTTTCTTTCTTTCTTTCTTTCTTTCTTTCTTTACCCCCCCCCCCCCCCCAACATACGACCCCCCCCCCCCCCATTTCTATCAATCTGGCAGATTCGGTTCGATCCCATCGATGATGGCAGCAGATTCGTCCATTAATGAGTCCGACCTCAGACCGCTCCATATAATGTACTGCGCTTCGTCGGCATTACGGCCACGGCCGACTCCGTGCCTTGCTTAGTCGCACACTGCTTTGTCATTGGATTCGTCGTCTCGCCTCGGCTGGCCTCGCTTCGCCTAATCGCATTGAGGGATGGGGGGTGCCTTGGGTAACTGGGCCGAGGATAGCCAGAAAAGAAAACTTAGGCTGTTCCCCAACAAAAAATGACTTCATGACCTGCATCTTGGTTCTTTGAAACGGCGAGGGTTGAGGTATGCAGCAGCTCACCCAAGCAAAGCAACCCGAGAGGCTTACGGGCATGAGAGGAAAGTGGAGGGAACCCGGGAGATCCCTACCAGTACGTGCCTACGTCACCGAGTGGTGAGTGGTGTGTTGTTCCCGTGGGCCCGATGAGCGATGTGAGCGGTCTGTTCACCTGACATGACGGCCTCCTCCGCCCCCCTTTCGTCCTCCACCGAGGGGTCAGGTGTCTTTGTCATATGGACGGTCTGGTCCAGGGCAGCCGGGAATGCGGTAGTTTACGAGATAGGACAGAGTGGACCGATGACCGATGACGGGGGAGGGGGAAATGGACATCCACGGTATGCTGGAATGGGAAATCAGAGTTGGAGGCAATCTGCCAGCGGATGGCCGGTAAATGACGACGACACCGTTTCGTTAGTTCAGCAAACAGCCCATGATTCCTTCACCAGCAAAGGATGCTTCGCCCAGTAAGCATCGTAGTGGTTGGGGTCCGCGCCCGCCAGTCATCAGGCCAAAGCGGGATGATGACATCGGTCACCCCCGGATCATCATTTCTGTGCGCCGTCCGCTGTCCTCATGCTCGCGGGCGCAGGCACACGCAAGGCAGACATACCACAGGCGCCAGCAGCTGGTCCCGGCTACAGGGGGGGGGGGTTGGCTTTTGGATCTGATGGAAATTGATAAGATTGGAGTGGGGGGGGGGGAGGGTTGGTGGCTGGTGACATCTAGTTTGACACTGGCTGGCTTGGCTGGACCTCGCGCCGTTGCCGCCTGCATCTCCGGCCTCGGCAAGAGACTCTATCCGTTCTGTACACGCATGCAGAGCTGAGGCTAGGTGTATGTGCGTGTATGTGCGTGTTTGTGTTTGTGTTGGTGTGTGTGTGTGAGTGTGGTAGAGAGACAAGCCTGGAGACTCGGTACGGGCAGAATGAAATGGAAGAAACGGTGTGGTGCAATACTGAGTTGAAAGAGGGGGTCTTGGATAAGTTTGAATTCGTATTGGAATCCGAGTTCCGCCGACATGCCGAATGTATGTGACTTGGACGTTCTCATCCAGCGCTGATAGCGAGCAAAGATAAGGTTGCGGCGTGTCTAGAAACACAGTGAGAGAACAGGACACAGTAGAAGACCAGGAGGTGCCGAGGAATGCCTGCGTTGAAGGGACAATGGCCATGGGAAACTGGGCTGGGCTGGGCTGGACTTGATTCGACTCCGGTTTGGTCCAAGAAGCAGGACAGCATGAGAGAACGGACTAGGGTGTGCAGAGAGAGAGTATCAAGAACGTGAGCCCCGCGCCCCGCTGGAGTCTTCACCCGCCGTGTGCCGCGCCAAAAAGGTACCAAGTCCATTCGGGGGGGGGGCCCAAGTACCCTTCGTCAGCAGGTGCCGTCACGTCCAAGTTGTGCATCAACCAAACGTCGCAGCAGAGATACGCCGAGGGACTTGCCCAGGTACATACACCAGGTCCCTCCCGGATCAGTGAGCCAACCCCCCTGTCCGATGTAGGCTGGATCCCGACCAAGAATGATATGCGGTATCTGTAGTGTACCTAGGTAGGTATCTGTATCCGCACTGCGTCCTGCGCGTTGCCCACGATGCGCACTGCCTGCCAGCAGGTACCGAGCGGCGGTGGTTGACTCCCTCACACTCGGAACCTCCCACCTCTCAGTCGCAGGGCGGAAACAGTGCCCCAGTAACTTGGAGGGATCTCCCAACACCGTCGAACACGCCTCTCATGGCAAGCCTAGGTAGTGTAGGTAGGTAGCAAGCTGTCTGCACTTGACACCCCTGCTCTCCTGGGTCCAGTTCCTCCAAATGACCGGTTAGGATGGAGGGTGTGGAGGGGTGGCTTGGAGAGGACATTGGATTGGGGGATACCGCGCCGTCATCGGGGCAGGGTGGGAGAGCAACGGAAGAAGGCAATAGGTAAGTAATACTATGTATCCGTACTGGAGTACGAAAAAAACCCCGCTCCTCTCGGGTGGCCAGTAATGGCTGGAGGTGAGAGAGGGAGAGAGAGAGAGAGAGAGAAAGAGTCAGGTTCGGAGGTAAAGGTAGCTAACTGGTGGCTACTGTGGGTGAGTGAGAGCTGACAGAGGTAACGAACGATCCTTTGCATGTCGAATGAAGCATCTTAGGTGGTGTCACCCAGCCGGCTCCACGGTGACGGTGTATCGTACTTCGGACAAGTAATGTGATGAGGTGGTGCTGCTTGGCTAAGTAAGGAAGGTCTCCCCTCCGATATCTTATCTTAGACGCCGCCGCTATGGAGGGGTGATGGAGGTGGAGGTCTCGAGAGTGTGTGTGTGGGAGAGAGGGGGGAGATACGGATACAGGTAGAGAGAGAGAAAGAGAGAGAGAGAGACGAGAGTGGAGGGAGGGAAAGGGAGAGAGACTCGGAGGTACCTGGCCCTACCACTTTGCCTACCTACTGCCTGCTGCTGCTGGCGGCTGATGGCGGGGAGCACGTACCAGTTACCCACCTATCCGCACTGGACGGGATGCATCCATACCGGACCTGACCTCACTAACACTGACACTGGACTCTTCCCCGTGCTCTCTCCTTCGACTCATCAACACCAAGAACACAAACCACGAACCACTATAGCAGCTATTCCCGTGAACACATCAGTCACGTCACGTCCGTCACGACTCGCCACACTTTTCTCTCTTTCTGTCCCTTTCCATAGATGTTTCGCTTGCCATCCTAGTAACCTGTCTCTCTCTTCCTCTCCGCCTTGGCTGTGCCTGGAAAGAAAGCCGCTCTTTCAACCCTCTTCTGTTCGCTCGTACACTTTCAACCACTGTCCATCTCACCTACCTTGCTTTACGACACCTGCCATATCTCGTCGTCATTCTGAGTTGGCGTCCATAGTCGTCCATTTACAAAGCATTTGCATAACACCTGCGGCACTTTTGTTACCTGCCGCCTTGGGTCGACTCAGTACCATCGATCCATCCCCTAATAGACCGACATCTCTATTCTTTGCAACCCACCTTCCCGAATACCTCCCAAACGACGATACCGAGCCGCCGATCACCGCCATATACCACTCTTTCTTCTTGTACGACACCTCGGCCCTTCCATAAACCAGGTAGAAGCTGCCTTGCGGAAACGCAGGTCCTTGGAGCAGGAGACTGCTCCAACTGCGGCGCAACACCACCTGAATGCCGAGTAAGTTTGGCTGCCCCTTACCAATCTCCACCCCATACGCGCCATAATTCTCATGGAAACCCTATACTCATCATCTCTTTCCATACAGGTTCGAAGAAGGACAGGAAGAACGCGAAAGATGGTGCAGTTAGCGCCGCGGTGACGAAACTCGCCGCGGGCAAGTTCACGTACGTTACCCCCTTCCAGCCCCTGCCCTCATTGGAACCCCGCGATAGTCCTCGGTATTGAGTCACCGCCGTACCCCCTTCACCCCCCTCCCCCTCCTTCCTGTCTTCTTTGTCGCCACAGCAGTCTCTGACAACCCAAATAGGAACGGTAGTCCTTCCAAGAGTCCTCCGTTCGATGCATCGTCGCCTCCTGTGAATTCTCCCGACATTCGACCCATAGCCCAAGGCCCGTCCCCCTACGATGGGCACCCTGCCATCTCGCCGTCCCTGGATGCTCTTTCAACAACCTCTGCCTCGGCTGCGAGCACAAACCAAGATTGGGCACGAGGAGGCCTTTCTGGGTCTCCAGGAAACTTGATCAGCCTCATGGGCGAGTCACCACCCACCCAACCTTCCTCCTATGAGGATTCCGGTCGCCTCCACCACGGATGGACCGTCCAGCGACAGTCCTTGACTCCCCAAACGGCCTCCCCTTCCCCTCCCAATAGCATGCCAAACCACATGAAGCGACCCCTGAGCTTCCAAATGGACTCCCAGTTCCCGCTTGAGGCTTACCATCAACCCGCTGCCGCTGCAGCATACCGTCGCAGCTCTATGCACTCTCAGCTTTCCCACGCTAGAGTCGGTCCGCAACCCCCGCTCCCCCACCAAGCCCAGCCGCACTTCTACGGTGCTCCTGACATCGATTTTGATACGGCCTCCAAGGCTGGCATGAAAGCCGGCGACAAGGGCTACTATTTCGGATTTGACACGCTTCCCTCTGCCCACACCGAGTTTGTGCCGGGATCGGACAATGTCGTGCTGGCTGGCTACGAGGGTGGCCTTGAAGTCTATTCGGTTAGCAAGCGCGGCTTGGATCGCGTTGCCGGTCTGAAAGGACTGAGAGGAGGCGTCTACGATGCTAAAATCCTGCCCTGGTCGAATCCTGGCACCAAGGTCGACTACTCCCCGCTCGTCGCTATTGTCATCCACGGCCCGGTGCTGCCGCAGACCTCTCCGGAGATCGCGATCCAGGCAGCGAACGATCGCGTCGCCGAAGACGCAGCCGAAGCACCTGGCAGTCCTCGAACAGACGACAGCCAGAAGGGCGGCCCCTCTGGTCGTTTCACACCCGTCATCGAATTCTACCAGACATCAGTCGAGTTGTACTCCCTCAAGACGGGCAAGCTAGTCGACGTGCTTCTTCAGGCTCCCAAAGCTTCTCTGTCGACCCCAGTCACCAGTCCAATCTTCAAGGCGCCACCGCCCACGGGCGCATTCACGATTAAAGCTGACGCTGGAAACATCGTTGTGGCTTCGGGCATAAGCGGAGAGTGCTGGGTTTACCGCTCGATCCCGGACTCCGACGAGGCTTCTAGCCGGTTTGGCTGTGTTGGCAAGCTCTGGACCAGCCTTCAGCAACCTCCCAGAGGCGACGTTGCGGAGGAAGCAGAGAGGCGCCACTCACCAGCGCTCCCACGACCGAACCCACAGACCCCGATACTGTCGCTTAGCGGTAAATGGATTGCCTATTGTCCTCCCGCAGCTTCCTCGCAGATTGCTCTCCGCGCCCATGTTCCGGTGCCCGTTTTGGGCAAGGCCCCTGGCATCTCTTCGGTAACCTCGCCCGTCCTCCCTGCGGTCACCGGCTCGGTTGACTCTCCCATGGCCGAGAGCATGGTCAACAAAATAATGCGCGAGACAACGCAAGAACTCATCTCCGGTGCGAAATGGGTCGGTCAGCAAGGACTGCAGGCCTGGAACTCGTACTGGAATAAGAATACGAATCAGATGCCTCCGTCGCAGTCTAGGTCGCCTCCGTTGACTGCTCAGCAGTGGGCTGGTTCGTATCCTCCCCGTCACGACGCGCCTCAGTTCCCACCGACACATGGCACGCCCGGCCACGCGGTGACTAAGGATCCCGGCCTCGTCTCCATTTTGGACATGGACAGCTTGCGGACTTCTGTCACTCTGCACCCGCTCATTACTTTTGCGTCTCCGCTTGGCTGCAGCTTCTTGTCTTTCTCGCCGACGGGACTGTCCCTGTTCACGGCTAGCGGCAAGGGTGACGTGCAAACGGTATGGGACCTGATGTGCATCCAGTACACCAAGTCGTCGCCTCTCCAAGTGTCAGCCGCCAACAACGCGATCGGTCCAAGGGTCCGCCAGGTTGCGCAGTTTTCTCGGATGACGGTCGCTCGGATTGTTGACGTTGCTTGGTCGAAACCCAACGGGGAACGAATTGCAGTCGTCACCGAGAGAGGCACCGTTCATCTTCTCGACATGCCGTCCAGCGCCTTCACCTGGCCGCCGCCTCGTCGCCGCAAGGCCACAGAGGAAAACGGCGCGCCCGCGTCAGACGCACCTAGCTCGGCCGTCTCGATTGCTTCCAGCGCTTTTGGTGCTGCTTATTATGCCGCCAGGCCTTTGATCACTAGGCCGCGTAGGAGCAGCGCGAATGCTCAGGGCTTGGCTGGTGGCAACTTTGTCGACTCTGCGAGCGTGGGTGGAAGGGCTATTGCTGCCAGCATCAGCCACTCCCTGGGCAAGACGGGCGTTGCCATAAACCAGCTGCGTCACACGGGAGACAACCGCGTATCTCTCCCACAAAGCTCAACGCTTCCAGGCTCGTCGTGCGTTGTGTGGATCACTGGTAGAAAGTACCATACTCTGTACGTCGTTGGCGACGGCCTCGTCCGTACGTTCCCGTCCAAGACTCGTCGTTCGTCGACCGCGCCCAGCAAGCAGCGAGCAGCTCGTGGGCTTCGTTATAAGGATTTCAAAATCCCCGCTCTGCCCCTCGATGGCTTGTCTTCTGCGGTCCGTCAGTTCATGGACTCCGACGAATACCTGGATTTGTCCGACAGAGAGCTGGACGCAGGCAAGACACTGACCCTGGACCCGCGAGCTAGACCGCTCCAAGTCGACCTGAGCGCAGAAGCCTCTATCCCTCAAGCTGAAATAGAGTCCAGCGCACCATACCAGCCTTTCCATACCGACAGGCGTGTAGCTCTGTACGAATACGGAGGTCAATCGGCGGCGCTGCCGCCTTCTCTGGCGGCCCTCATGGCCGATACCACGCTGGAGGACCAGGCAACGCCCAAGCAGAAAAAGCGGCAGCAACGCTTGCGTGCTCAGCACACACCTGTCGAGACGGACTCGTCACAGCCCTGGGCTTTTGGCCAGCCGCTTAACCTTGTCAAGCTTGACACCGGGCACCACTCGATTTCAGAAGATGAATTCAACATTTCGGATGATCATCGTGCGCTCCCGCTGTCGTCAATGGAGAGAGTGATGCATCGTGGAGAGAACGGCGACGAGATTGTTGTCACGACACGTCGTCGGCGTGGAGCACGTCACATGGAGGATGAGGATGGGTTTTTTGAGGACGATTGCGAAGTCCTCGACTTTGCCGATCAGCGGGTTTGAAGAAGGATGCCAGAGGCGTTTAGAACTAGGTTAGATCAGGAGTCACTTGCGCCTGTGGTTTTGTCTAGAATTGCTCAACAACACACGCGCGAGCGGAGGCTTGGGATCATGAGGCATGCATGGCATGGCATGGACTTGGCCGGCTGTGCCACTCACTCCTTTATTTGGTGTTTTCAGGGGGAGTTTCCCTGGCCTAGGGTATAAGTCCTTGAGAATTATCAAAGTAGGTAGTCCGTTTCACGAGATGAGCTGCACGCTCGTTCTCCAATAAAACCCGCTTAGATACCCATTTCGGTACTTTTCTCTTGTATGTGCAATGCAGTAAACCATGCCTTCCAGGCAATTAATATCGACGACGTCTCTGCCATCCTAGACATGCCTCCGTGACAGAGCATGGTTCCAGCTTCGAGACGCGCGGCCGTTGTAATAAAAACCCGACTTCTTTGCCATGTCTACGCCTTCTTCTTCGCAGCAGCCTTGGCCTTGGCGGCCTTCTTTCTGTTACTCCGGATCATGACAGTCCCTAGGAAGGAGCCTACGACGGCAGAGCCGAGCAGGATGAGGATGACGGGAATGCGGATTGCCCAGACGCGGGCAGGGAAGAAGTTCTGGAGAGGGTGGCCTTCATCGACAAAGGGCTATGGCAGGGTACTGTTAGTAAACCTTGATGGTCACTCGTGACAACGGGCAAGGGGAAGAGCAGGGGGGGTGGCAGGTGCCTACCATGAGCAGAGTCCAGATGGAGTAGTATGTGAAGATGACAGAGGCGGCCACGAGCATGGCGAAGCCGACGAGAGTTCCACTCTGTATGGATTAGAAACACATGTTAGCTAGCTGTTGCGATGTTTCGTTTCGTTTCCTCCCTTGTTGCGCAAGCAAGTGCACACGCAAAAAATTGTGGGATGGGTGCAGAGTCCTTGGGCAGCTTCTCAACGTACCATTGTCGATTTGTTGGATGGGAGGAGGGGTAAAGGAGCGTAGAGAAGGAATTGGCAAGCTGGCGGGCGTAGGTGGTGACCGTTGTTTCGGATAGTGGATGGCCGCGTTCAGAGGAGAGGAGGATCTTGGGTGAAGAGGGAGAGGAGGGTCAAGATGAGGTAGGACAGGCCAGTAGTAGCTGCCGTGGCCGATCGGGAAAACCGTAGTCGCGATTTCAGGGGATACGGGCGGCGCGCTGCGCTAAAAGGAGCTGCCACGGTTGACTGTGTGACTTCTCCAGCCAGACGGGTCCCCTGATCTCGGACAGCTCCAGCCGCAAGGTCCGTGCTGCGTCCGGCGAATGTGGGTCATTCGATTCCCCAGCCACACTTTGGATTTTTAGGTAACTCCTGTCCAAGAAGTCCAGTTGCGTCAAAGCAGCAACCTTTTTCCAAGGACAAAGAAGAGTATTACCAACACCAACGCATCTCCGATTGACCTGCCGCCTACTTCTTGGCGTCGCAAGACCCCCTGAAGCGAATACAGACCTTCGACAGGTGGTGCTCTGGGGACTTACGGGATACCAAGGCGCGATGGCATCGGCAGACGTCGGCTCCCCGCGCCTCGAGCGCCGCGAACGCGATGGCGAACCTGAGGACGACCGCGACGGCAATGACCGTCGACACCATCGCGACAATGAGCGCCCCCGCAACCGAGACAGAGAACGCGATCGCGATCGCACCGACAGCTATCGACCGGCTCCCAAGGAACAGCGTCGCCCGACACCCCCCGTCAAGACGGAAGAGGAGAAGCAGGCCATCGCGAAGGCCGAGTACGAGAAGCTGCTGTCCATGCGATCCGGAGGCACATATATCCCGCCCGCACGGCTGAGGGCGCTACAGGCCCAGATCACCGACAAGAGCTCCAAGGAATACCAGAGGCTGATGTGGGAGGCGCTGAAGAAGAGCATCAACGGTCTGATCAACAAGGTCAACTACTCCAACATCAAACACATTGTCCCCGAGTTGTTCGGCGAGAACCTGATCAAGGGTCGCGGCCTTTTTTGCCGATCCATCATGAAGGCGCAAGCGGCCTCTTTACCCTTCACCCCTGTCTTTGCAGCCATGGCGGCCATCGTCAACACGAAGCTGCCTGCCGTCGGCGAGCTCCTGGTCAAGCGCCTCATCATATCCTTCCGCAAGGGCTTCAAGCGCAGCGACAAGGCTGTCTGCGTCTCATCCACCACCTTCTTGGCGCATCTCATAAACCACCAGGTCGCCCACGAACGACTGGCCGGCCAGATGCTCCTCCTCCTCCTCCACAAGCCGACCGACGACAGTGTCGAGATCGCCGTCAACTTTATGCGCGAGGTGGGGCAGCACTTGCAGGATATGCAACCCGCAATCGCCTTGGCTGTTTGGGATCAGTTGAGAAACGTCTTGCACGAGGCCGACATCGATAAGCGCGTGCAGTACATGATCGAGGTGCTCTTCCAGGTCCGAAAAGACAACTTCAAGGACAACCCACCCATCAAGGAGGAGTTGGACCTGGTCGAAGAGGAGGACCAAATCACACACATGGTCGACCTTGACGGAGAGATTGACGTGCAGGACGGTCTCAACATATTCAAACACGACCCGCAATGGGAGGAACACGAGGAGGCATACAAGAAGTTGAAGGCCGAGATTTTGGGAGAGGGCAGCGACTACGACGATGACGACGACGACGATGAAGACGAAAGCTCCGAGGAAGAAGATAATGAGGAGGAGAAGGCCATGGAGATCAAGGACCAGTCCAACACCGATCTGGTCAACTTGCGACGCACCATTTATCTGACCGTCATGTCCTCCATTGATCCCGAGGAAGCCGTACACAAGCTCCTGCGAGTCAATCTCCCGGCCGGCCAGGAGCCGGAGCTTCCATCGATGATTGTCGAGATTTGCTCCCAGGAGAAGACCTTTTCCAAGTTCCACGGCCTGATTGGTGAGCGCTTCGCCAAGCTGAACCGCTTGTGGACTGGTCTCTTTGAGGAGTCATTCGCCGACTACTACGGCAAAATTCATCGCTACGAGACAAACAGGCTTCGCAACATTGCGCGCTTCTTTGCGCATTTGCTTGCAACTGATGCCATTGGCTGGCATGTTCTCTCGGTCATTCATCTGAACGAGGACGAGACAACCAGCAGTTCCAGAATTTTCATCAAGATCCTCTTCCAGGACATCTCTGAGGAGCTTGGTATGGCGAAGCTCCAGGCACGGATGAAGGACGAGATTCTGCAGCCCAGCTTCGTCGGCTTGTTCCCCCGCGACAATGCGCGGAACATCCGTTTCTCTATCAACTACTTCACCAGTATCGGCATGGGCGCTCTCACGGAGGCTTCCAGAGAGTATCTCCAAAACCTTCCCAAGCCGACTTTGCCCGCACCGCCAGCTGACGATTCCGACTCGGATTCAGTGTCCGACTATTCTTCTTACACCGGCTCGTCCTACTCCCGCTCGCGGTCAAGATCGCGCACGCCCCGGCGTGCCATTGACCGCAAGTACTCCGACTCCAGATCTCCTCCCCCTCGTGGTAGAGGACGGTCCTACAGCCGGGACAGGAGCTCTACCCGGTCTCGCTCTTATAGTCGCTCGGTCACGCCTCCCAGAAGGGCACGCCGTGACGACTCTCATTCCGCAAGCCCGCCGAGAGGACGCGGCCGCTCAGTCAGCTATTCCAGGTCTCCGCCTCCGGCCCGAAATGGCCCCAGAGATCGCAGCCTCAGCGTGACGCCGCCGCCGCGAAGGGCAGCCCGGAGAAACAGCCCATCCGTCAGCAGGTCCCCTTCCCCACGGAGAGGGCGTTCTATCTCCTATTCGGCCAGCCCCCCACCTGCGCGAGGCTCTGCTCAAGGTTCGGCCCTTGGCCGTAGCTCTAAGCCAGACTCTCGTCGCACAGCCCGGCGAAACAGTTCGTCGGTGAGCAGTGTACCACGGAAGCGCGCCCGCTACGATAGCCGATCTCCCAGTCGGTCGCCGAGCCGTGCATCGTCGTATGACTCGCGGTCTCGCTCTCCTGTCCGCCGCGGGCCTAGAGATAGCCGTTCGCCTCCGGCCCGTCCACGGGACATTGCCAGCATCTCACCGCCGCCCCGGGCAAGAGTCGCCCGTCGCGACGATTCGGCGTCGAGGTCGCCAAGCCCTGCGCCGAGGAGGTCACTCAAGAGAAGTTCGCCCGATGGCCGGGGCAGAGACTCGGGGAGCCCCGTGGGTGCGAAGCGGAGGAGGTACAGTGACTCGGTGTCCCGGTCGCGAAGCCCGCCGCCGACGAAGAAGGGTCGGAGGTGAAGCGTGGAATGGGTGCTGAAAGGAGAAACAGCAGGCGAAATTGTACGATGGATTCGGGAGGTGGCCAGAATGACTGTCAAGCTACTACGTGATGAGGACGCAGGAGGGGGGGGGGGGATGCAATTTCAAAAGGGCGAAATTCACTGCTTGAGGCGGCTTCTCAGTTTCTTGTTCTTAATTTCCGTGAACTTGTACAGTATCACGATTAGCCCGTATCATGAAAAGTCGTTCTCACATTTACTCACTGCGAAGCCGCCCGCTCACAACCCATTTTCTATATCAATGAGCCAACGTCCCGTGGAGGCCCACGTACATCAGCCTCCTTCCCGGTACAGCAGCTCTGCGTAAGAAGCCTTCGCTCGGTGTGGACCCAGGTGCTACCGGTTCATCCGACCAGGCAAATCACCTGCGCCTACTATGACCCCCTCTCTCCTTACCTCGTTAAAGGAGCTGTATATGACTATGCCTATTAGAGAAACTTTGTTGTTGGAATTTCGCTCTGAGTAGGGCCACTTCTTTCACCGGCTCGAAGCCGGCTGGCACGGCACGCCGACCTGCATGACCTCTGCATACCCAGGCACAGGCACCTAGGTTCCCCACGGGGGGCGGGGCCGGGGTTCCCATGCACACCAGCCGGGCTTTTCAGAAGCCACCTCGTCCCAAGCTTGTAATTTAACAAAGGGTAAAATGAGAGACAGTTCTTACTGCCCCGAACCGCGGAGGGAAACTATGTTTACTGCCATCAGGTCCCTATTTCTTCATACATTCTCCTCATTGTTCCGCCGGTCACTAGGGACTGATGGGCTTCTCTGTTCGAGCACTACAGGCTACTCTGATTGGCCGATCAACGCCGGCCCCGGCACAGTCGGCTTCTTGTGTCCGGTGGTAGCAGCTGGCTTTTGCTGCAAGCCGACGCTAATTTATCACAAGCCGTTCCCCCGAAACCTTCTGTACTTTATGTACCGTGTGATTCGGCTAGCGACTAGATACCCCGCTACCTTCTACAGCCAATTTCAAACCAAAAAAAAAATAAAAAATGTATGTCCGCCGTGAGCTCCAATTATTGAACCCTACAGCCCCCCCGGGCTATCAGCCCTTCAGCGCGGCGATGATGTCGCTGCTGTTGGCTATGAAGCCGTTCAGATCCGCGTTGTACCGGACCATCTGCTCCGCGTACCACGGGCTGATGGTGGCGGCGCAGTCCGGCACGTAGACCACGTCGAAGCCCTTGTAGTAGGCGTCCAACAGCGCGCCCCATACGCATTGGTCGCTGTTCACGCCGCCGAAGAAGAGCGTCGTGATGCTGTTCTCCTGGAGGTACAGGCCAAGCGGGGTCTGGGCCCCCCACAGTCCCGACACCCGATCTACCAGCGTCCGCACGTCAGTCATCTCTCTCTCTCTCTCTCTCTCTCTGTGTGTGTGTGGGTGTGTCTCGGGATCACCTTGGGGCCCGTGGGCTTCACTCACTCTTGTTGAAGTAGAAATCCGTCCCCTGCTCCACGCCGCGGACCATCTCGTCATCCAGGTCCCCGTACGGCCTCGCGTTCCAGCTGCCCCGGCACAGCTTCTTGCCAACCTGCACCGTCTCGCCGTTGTCGCCCTCGATGGTGCCCATGTCGGAGCAGAAGCTCGTGGCCCGGGTGTGGTCGTCGGAGAACCCGTCGAGGTCGACGGGCGGCGAGATGATGAGGTCGTAGTCGTCGAAACCCCAGTTGGTCCACAGGATCTTGACGCCACTCTCGCGGAAGGCGTTGATCAGGTTCACGGTGGGCCCGACGGCGGCGCGGCCGAGCGTGGCGCTCGGGGTGAGCTTGGGGTGCAGGAAAAAGTTCTGCATGTCGATGATGACGAAGGCGGAACGGGACGGCTCGATGATGGCCGAGGCGCGGTTGCCCGACATGGGAATCTCCTTCGGGGAGGTCGTGGCCATCCGGGCGGACCGTGTGAGGTCCCACGTCGTCCTGTTGGTGGTCGCATTGGTGCTGAGGAGCTTCCAGTAGTTGTAGTAGTTGCCCAGCAGGGCCGCGTCCGTAGAGTCGCCGTTGCCGGCCAGGGCGTTGAAGGTGGCATACGTATCAAAGACCTGCGCGAGGGCCGGGGCTGCGGCGTGGAGGGCCAGAACCAACGGCCGCCATAGTTGCGGAAGATGCATCGGGGACGGGTTTGTGAAGTTCTTAGGGGGGAAGCTGAAGGGGGAGAGGAATGGGGCGTACTCGAATCCATCTACGACCAGAAAGCTCTGGTGGGATATATACGCTTATATGCACCTTCTGTAGGTTTTGCCCAAGTACTATCTATGATCGTTCTACCTACCATAGAGGCATTCGATGTGTAGCACTCGCTTTGTCGGAACTCTATCCGAGTTCCTCGCAATATGGCAGATGGTCCGGCTTTAAGTTCAACGGCCTACCTGCATCCTTGTCAACGACTTATTCCATGACCCAACCCCTAGTTTCTAGTTTAACCTTGAAGACACCTGCCTCTTCAGCCAGGGAGACTCGTCCGTACTCTCCGCTCCGGTGACGAAGACACACGCAAATAGCAGTTCTCGTAGCTAGCCGCCTCTCAAGTCGCCAAGACAACGAGGGTGCCAACAGGCGCCCTGCTGGGCGTTGCATAATATGAGGTGCCGATGCCCCCCTGCTGGAATCAAAGCACTGCTCGGGCACGCAGTCTACAATAAACAACGAACGCTTTGTCCAATGATTAGATGACTCGTTTTTGTGTTTTCATGCTAAAGAACCGGGGTGCATGACCCGTGGAATTCCATATACGCATTCCATATACGTAGTATGGCCGGCCGCCCTTTCATTTCCCCCACAGCCGCGACGACTTCGTCAAGCGCTGTATTTCGCGTTTCCTGACTAGGGCGGCATGGAACGTCCTCCTCCTCCACCATCACCCTATCTGAATCGACCGAGCCGGCGCACAGGAAGGTTGCGTTGCACGGCCCCGGCACAGGAAATTCGACAGCAGACTACCGTAATTTGTGTCATGCATGCTGCTTATCAAGCGTTTACCGTGTGCTGGCTTCTCTACGCGATTCGTAACTGGGCAGCTCCGTGATTCCCATGCTTGTTCTCCTCTCGTCTTCTTTGTTTTTCCTTTTTCGGGGGGTTGCCTTGTTTCGTTGCGCAGGTTGAGGGGGGTTCGGAGGGCGATAAAAACTGCCGCCGGCCAATACTTGAAACTGATCGGCAGTAGGGGATTCGGGGATTTATATCGCTTTCCTCGTCACCCTCCAGCAGATATCCCATACAAACATAGGGTCTCTCTGATTCAGATACCAGATGTCATTGCAGGGTCACGGTATGTGTTTACGTACATGTATCTGAAGGAGAGTCAATCACATGCTTCCATGCCAAGGCAGGAGTGCGTCAGCGATACTCGATCCCGACGACGCGAGTTCGACACCTGCGGCGCCATTCCATATGGGAAAGATGCTTGGCTGTTTGCCGTTCCAAAGTGGAGTTGTTGGTGTTGGTCGCTTTTCCGAATTCCTTCAGAAGCCCAGTCTGGAGCTGTTCGCCGATGCTAGCCACTAACCAGAGTACAGTATGAGATGAGGCCCAACCTCAAGATGAGTTCGTGCAGACAGCAACAATCGACCTTACCCATACGCCCGACTGTCATGTTGATGACATAGTGAAGGGCTTATCCTAACGTCTCCTTATTCCAGCCAGTCAGTACCAAGCCACGAGCACATTCTCGTTCGCTCTCCCCTGGTTAGACAGTTGTTCGGGTAGTATTGCCGTCCAATGTGCAATTTAGCATTAGACCCATATGCATAAATACGAGAATGCAACGAGGAATAGAGGATACCAATTCAACAGACAGTTACTCCGAGAATAAAGGCCATGTGTTGTGAGTGCTTCCCTGCCACATTTAATCATGCCAGGCACGCCCGTTGATCAAATCGCATAACTTTCAATCTCCTGGCATATTTGGTCTCTCAAGCTCGCAGGCAGGTTCTAACTTTCCTCCGCTATAATATCTCCACCGGATCATTGGCCGTGCCCTTTCCACCGCCGAACGACAGCGAGGGGCCTGGTCGAGTACTGTTCATAGAGGGCATGCTTCCTACACCTCTTTTCGTTCTAATCGGCACACTCAGAAGGGAATCCTGCGACGAGTCCAGCTCCATGTCTAGCAGAAGCTGTCTCCCTCGTGCCCCAGGCACAGTATTGCGTATCTCTTCAGCAAGAGATTCTGCCAGTTTTCTCTTCTTGCTGCCGATGCCTCGAATCTCTTCTATCTCGTCGTCCTCATCGTCTTTGTCATCAAGGCCCCGAGTGTTGCCTATTCTTGCACTGGATTTCTCGGGCATGTCGTCCGTAACAGTATCGACACTATCTCGCATTGTATCGAGTTTCGCCAGTCGTTTTCTCCGCGAGTAGTCAGAGATGACTGGTGTTCCCACTGTTTCGATGCTGAACTCGGGAGAACGACCTACCAAGCCTAAAAGATGGCCTTTCGCTCGATTCTCAGTCCTTATACGACGGCTGTCAATCATTGGGGTATGGACTTGGACGTTATGCAAGCCAAGACCGCTATCTAGAGGCATCCGTTGCAATTGTGAGGTTGTAGGCGGGTGTACAGGATGGATTTTGTTCGGCCGAGATGTTCTAGGTTTCTTTAGCCAAAGTTGGAACTCTGATTCGGACATGCCCTGACTGAGAATCGCATCGAGTAGGTCGAATTTGACATTCTTAATCGGGTGTCCTCCTAGCTTCCGATCGAGCTCGCCCCATCGATTCAGAAGATGAACTCCCTCCAAGACAAGGATAGCCCCCTCAATACCAGGAAACACTTGGCACGGGTCGAACTCTGCCGAAGTTGTCGGGGAGTCCTTTCGCTTCTGTGCAACCTTTGCTACCAGATCGCGTACCTTGGAATCATTCTTCAGGAATCTCTGGTTGATCGTCACGGGGACGAATTGCTCCACCCACCAAATGGTAGCCTTCCGACTGAAGAAATGTGCTTGCATCCATGGAATCGTCACCTTCAAGTTCTCAGTCGTGTGCGTCCCGTACCATTCGCCCTGTAAAAACGGAAGACTATCGAGAGTTGCTGCATCAGAGATAACGGGATTCCGGCAATTTCTCAAGGCCTGGAGGGCGGGAAAGCTTCTGATGTCGGATCTCTGCTTGTTGAAGCTCAGATTTGATCCCGAAGTGATCATTTCTATCTCCTCCTCGAGAAGCATCCGCCAACCAGCCGCATCGGCCTCTGTTTGGATTCGCCAGAACCCCTCGACGAGTCCCCCTTTCTTGGCCAACTGGCGAGCCATGGCCTCACCACAGCCCCTGAGCCCCGCAGAGTCGTAGTCACATCCAGTTAGCATTCCGAAGAGTGTAATGCTCTTCTTGTTGAAAAGACCTGTTTTTCTGATATCCTTCATATCGAATGATTGGGTCTCTTCTTTTAGCTTCTGGTTCTTGCCGTTGCGCAGGTCTTTGATGAGAAGGGTGCAGCCGAACATGAAAGAGTCGCTATCTTCGGACCAAACGGCGTCGACCAATCCCTTTTGCTGCAGTAGTGCACACTCGGCCTCGGCCTCTCCTGGGGCCTGGTGCCATGGCACATAAATATGATCAAGCATACCTTTGAGGAGCGCCGTGGTTGCCTCGCGTTGAAAATATCGCTTTGAGCCCTTCTTCATCTCCGGTCTCCTTTCGCCGTCAAAAACGAAAAGCAGCTGGATACCCAAACGCAACAGCGGCAGAGTACGCTCGAGTATGGCCGTCTCCCGAGGGTGGGAGCCAGGACTTTCTGCGCATGTGTTAGATGATGGTTTGACTTTGCAATAGCTATTGAAAGCGAAGGTTTCTTCCCCAAGCACGTTGCGTCATATGAGACCGGGGAGGTGGGTTTTGAGGATTGCGAGAAGACGGAAGGATGCATTTCGCGAACTGCAAAGAGGGCTGGAGACAAATAGGGACTCGAGACAGGATAAGATGTGGGTTACAGACTCTCCTGGATCTCGGCCTCCTTGGCATCAGTGATATTCTTGAATCTCCAATGGGCCTCGTCAATGGCTATTCGTAGCGGTCGCCCGTGTTCCTTGAGGTGCTTTGCAGCCCATTGAGCCAGCGACCTCTCCCTGCCTGCCTCGTTGACGACGTTCCAGAAACTGGAACGGAGATTAGTATAGGGGACAACAGATATAAAAGGCGACTTGATACCGCCGGGATTGCACTCACTGGTAGATGCCCATGATTAATGAGTTTGACAGGTAGCAGGTGGGAAGCGTCCGAACAGAAATGAAAAGAAAGAGCGTGTCGCTGAGCGGAGAAGGCTTGTGTAAGCTGGAGTAGACTCAACGAGACACCATTGCAGGTGAAGCGGCCGGGAACGTATTGGAATGCGTGTTCACAAAAGACACGAGATGCAACGACACGAGATGACAGTATATGAGCGCCTGTCTGATGAAGCAAATATTGTGGAAAGAAGATTGGACGCGCAGGGGAAAGGGAAGGAAGATAACTAGTTAGGAAGGCCGCACTCAGGCATAGCCTACCTACCACACAGGTGCATCTGGACGCACAGACCGCGAGGCTTCCTCGAACCTTATTGATGCGTGTCTCGGAAGTAACGATATACATATATTTTCTTCGTAAGAGCAACTGTAGCGGTAATGCTATTGTGGATATATTATGTCATGTTGATACAAGTCTATGTTGTACAGTACTGCTTTGGTAGCATGAGCTCTGGAAGTATGACCCCTTTCAAGAGCCACGAGGCAACGCCAACCCAATCCGCGCATTTGGCCTCTTGAACGCCATGTAGATAGCGTATCCCGGATCGCGGCCCAACCTCAGGCCTTGATCCCCCTAGCATTAATCTCGCCCTTCTCCCCGATATTCAAGCGCACACGACAGTCAGGGCAATACCATTTAGTTGTGCGCGCGGGGATATGCGTCATACCGAGGCACTCTAGATGGAACCACTCTTTATCGCAGTTCTTTTTTAGACGTGTCAGCATACAAAAAGAAACGAAACACCAGGCATTCAAGCTGGACAAAGAGTACTTACATCATTGTCGCATGCAATCATCTCGCCAAAGCTGACCCTGTTGCAATCGCAGTACCGCGGCTCGTTGGGATCGATCGGGTTGCCCTCGTCATCCTCCTCCAGCTCAATCTCGATCGGCTGGCCCTTTTCCTTCTTCTGAGCACGCTTCTTCTTGGGCGCGGCCTTGCGCTTACCTACGGCACTGCTGCCTCCAGCGTTGGTCTTACTGACAATACCGGGCACAGGCTTTCTAGTCCTTTTGCCCGGCTGTCTCTGCTCTGGTGCTGGCGTGTTCCTCGCGGTACTAGTGCGACGGGATCGTTCAGGAACGAGCGAGGGCTGCGGCTCTTGACTCGAAGCTTTTCCTCTAGAGCCGGGACGTCGCTGACCTTCCGGGACGGGTGTTGTGCCCGGCGTCGCCGCCCGGGAGCTCGACTGTTTGATGGAAGGGGCCGCAGAAGATGAACGTTGCGTTTGCGGAGCCTGTGACGGCAGCACTGGCGCGAGGTTTTCCGCCTGCTGTTGGCCTTTCTTCGCCATGTCGCCCCTGGTTTCCCTCCGAGCCGCACCATCGCGTGTTGGAGGAAGAATCGGCGTGGTTGACTTCTTGGGTGACAACATCGGCGGAGGTATGGGCGTCTCCGCAAGTGGTTTTGTTACGATGTTCGCCAGCCCGTTGCTCGTAATGGAGGCAGGTTGTTCGGTTGAACTAGTTGGTGACGATGCCGGTGCAGAGGTGTTTACTGGTTTCGTTGTTGCCGCAGCCGCAGGCTCCTGTCCGGGAATTGGGACTGGAACAGGCGTAGTCATCTTAGGAGTAACCACAGTGCCGCCCGGGGTAAGAACAGGGGGCGGGATGGGAGTTTCGGCCAGAGACTGGGAGGCGAGACCGGCTCTGAGATGAGGCAGCGGCACCGGAGTCTCCGTCTTGGTACGCTTTGGCGCAGGACGCGGAGCCGGTGTCTCGAATGGCTCAGGCTTCTCAGCCTCGGCCTCCGGAACAGAGTCTCTCTTGCGCTTGTTGCCGTTCGTTTTCGGCTTAGCTTTGGGGTTGGGGGTTGCCTTGTTTGCCGACTTCGGCTGGTCGGCACCGTTGTTGGAAGTCGACGCCGACGCCCGCGCTTCGTGAGACATCAGAAGCCTCGCAGCCTCTCTAAACTGTCGGGCTGATTCTTCCGCCTCCTCAGCAGCTTGCTTGGCCAACGACTCTCGCTTGAGCTTTTTTGCTTCATTCAACTTCATGCCCCTGTTGCTCAACTGGATGTCGTCAGAGGCGAGCGCAGCAGCACTGATAGCGCCCTCTGGTATCTGTTTGTTTCCGTTCTCGGCATCGGGAGCCAGGGCAGGGGGCACCTGGTCAAAGACTCTGCCCTCGTCCTCGGCCTTTTTTTTTGCCTCCTTGTAGGCGTCGATTCCACGGCCGAGCGTCTTGAGTTCTCGCAAGATCATGGTGTCACTGGGGTTCCACGTTGCGTTCTTCTTCATACGCTTCCTCAACCTTGCCAATTCCCATGGGGTCAGCTGCAGCCAAGGAGCATCCGCGCTACCTATCACAGCGTTTTCTGGCGGAGGCTGCAGCACAACAGCAGGTGTGGCGGCTGCACCGGGAGTTGCGGCCGATTTAGGAGGCCGCGCTGATGCGGTTTTTGGGGTCTTCGGCGGACGGGCTTTAGGAGTCTTGAGGACTTTGATCCGGGGCGCGGGAGTTGACCGAGCTGGTGTGCGCCCAATGGATTCGTCGTCTTCCTCCTCGGAACTTTCGTCGCTATCGTCTGAATACGCCACAAACTGGTCGAACGGCGGCAGCACCTCGCCAGGAACAGTGATTCTGGGTATGCGCGGCCGTCGTACTTTTTCGCCGTCCCCATTGCGCAGCATCCTCGGGGCCCTGACAAGCTGAGGCGACTTGGTCGTAGCCACAGGGCTCTTTTGCTCCTCTGCCGGGTAGTTCTCCAGCATATCCTTCAACTTTGCGAGGATCGTCTTTGCGCGATTATAGTGACGGCTCACGTTCTCGGACATACGGATCGACTCCTCGTGCGCAAAGACCCGCGAGCTGACCGCATGGTTGAGGCTATCCGAGATGTCTGCGCGCAACTGTACAGGGGACGGGCGTTCTTCGGCTGGTATGCTGGGGAGCTTTCCCCAGGTTGAGGTGAGGTTGTGGACCTTGAGGGATGCTTCTGCGTACGTCTGGTCGAGCTTGCCGATCAGGGTCAATGATCGCATCATATCAGAGGGGAGGTATTCGGTAAAGTCGAGAAAATCGGTGACAGTCGCCTGGGCGTCTGGGTCGGCGCGCATCTCAAGCGATTCGACAGAGTTGCTAATGGCGCCGAGTGACTGGCGGATGTCGTGTTCGACCGAGGTCTTGTTTTTGGGTGACACCTCGATATCCATGGCGTCTGCGTGCTCGTTGGTGGAGGCCATCTTGTGTCAAAGAAAGGAGAAGGTTGTCAGCCAAGAAACCGGCGTCGGGTTTGCTATGGACGCATTTGGTTCGCTGTGATGATCGGAGTTGGCCGTTGGGTGTGCTGCGAAATAAGCTTGCGCATTCTATGGGATGAAGTTGACTGTCGCGTTTGCGAGGGAAGTCGCGACCTGGCCTGGGGTTGAGTTTAGCTCCAGAAGCTCCCTAGCGCAGCTGCGAGGTGGTGGGGCTCCAGACATCCATTGACAGACCAGGATGGTGTGGCTCGTGCGCAATTTGGGTCGGAACATTGAGATTCCGCGTCCCACCTTCTACTTCCGACGCTGGGCTTCCCCAGGCAAGACCCGCTCCGTGTGATCACACGAACCCAGTCCATTCCATCAACGATCGATCATATGGCTGTACTGCCCTGTCTCGCAACAAACAAGTTCAACACCTCTCCCTTGTAACCGGATGACCCAAGGAACGCCCATTCTCTGGTCCTGGGAACTCTGCGTCTTTCTCATTATTAATAGTCTCGTTTCCGTCTCACTTTCTCGACGTCGAAACGCCATCTCAAAATTATACACAGCCGCCTGATGTCTCGCCTTACACATCATCTCCATCCATTAGCCGCGCCCTCAACGGGTCGACTTGGTCGATGCCTTTGAACATCCTATTCGATGCCGGCCAACGGACCAGATTCTAATGCCAAACTCCCTGCAAAAAAAAAAAAAAAAAAAAAAAAATTTCACTAGCAAACAGGTCTCATGCAGGTCGCCAGCCCAACGTCCTCCTCGCGGCTAATTATTGCGCCCCAAATCCTCTGCTCTCCCTCGACGCAGTATCCCGAGTTTGGTCCCACGATCGTCAGTGACCCGTAAAGAGTCATCCTCCTGCATCTCCTGTCGTGATATGTCAGCCGCAGTACGGTTTGGACCATGCACCATCAAGCTAACTTACAAAAACCCGTTGATCGTCGTACTGCCATAGATCTCCAGATCATTGGCCTCACACGTTCCGGTGACCGTCAACTTTCCGAAGCCTTTGAGGTCATCGCTACCATAATTAGTATATCAGCGCGGCTCCTTGGGCGGCAAAGTTTGCTTTCGACAAGTACTTACCTGATGGACATGTACCCGACGACTTGAATATTCCCATACGCCTTCAGCCTCCCGCTATTCGCACAGCTCATAAGCTTTCATTACCCTTTGGCATTGCAATGACATGTCGTATGTTCTCAAAGAGGGCACTCACTCGCATACCAGATTCCCATTAACCTCAACAGCTCCGTAGGCCTCGATTCTGTCCCTCACATCAAAATCGCCATTGAACGCTATGTTTCCACCAGCCGCCACGGAACCAGCGACCCTGAGCGGGCCGTGTAGTGTGATCTCGCCTTCACTCCGTATCGATTTAGACTTGGTCACCGCCGCTGTCGTTGTTGTCGTTGCAGTGTTGCGGGTCTCGCCGTGGTCCGTTGGCGGACTGGGGCCGGTCGCGGCAATAGTCGATGACGAAGCGTAGCTTGTTGTCGTCCCTGCGAGCGAGAGATCGAACCGCTCGTCGTAGGTCTCGTGCTGTTCAGAGAACTCTTTGCCTTTACTTGGTGTCTGCATTGATATGGAAGCCATATTTGGAAAGGGAGCTATACCGGGTTTCCACTCAACAGCTTTCTTCCGAGCCGGACTCTCTCATTACCTCTTAGTAAGTAGAAGCAGGGAAGTTGAGAACGGCTGTCGCTAATGTTGGCAGAAATCTAACAGTCTCTCGTGGCCTGGAAGGGCAGTCGGCTTCTTTGGTGGGTGGGTTTTGGAGAATTTATGAACTAGGGCAAACGACGCTCTCCGGCGATGATTATAGAGTCAGACCGTCACTCCTGAACCGATAATTTTCAATGACATCTTTGGTGTTGAACAATACGCCTCACCAGTCCCGTTACATCGAATGCCCCCCCCCAAAAGCCAATGAGCTGAACAAGATACTTTTCTTTGCACATCGCATCCTCTGCGCGACCGCATCAGCCCAATACGAGCTGTCCGTGTGCCTCTGAGACCACTGCGTTCCGCTCTCTCGACTCTGTCGTATGACAAGGGAAATCGAGGGCCAGTGAGAGAGAGAGGGGGGGGGATCAAGATTAATCTACCGATCGTCATCGCCATCCCGGCAGACGCAGACGCAGCACCCCCACCCCCAGTGGCACATCTCAGTCCTTGAGAGACAGTAATCACTCTTGGCCCTAGTCGCAATGCCACCGAGTCCTACATAGCCGTCCCGCGGCGGGTGCTCATCCGGCCCGCGCGGCACCGCGGTAGACGTCAAAATTGGACGAAGTTGGTGCGCAGGAAGACAGGCTGGGAGGAAGATAGACAATGTCTCAGTTCGGGTTGGCCTCCTAACTCCTCCAGGCAAGCTAGGAGGAAGATGGACAGACATGTCTCAGTTCAAGTCGGCTTGCTATCTCCTCCTTATTCCCCCTCACCACTCTAAACAATGGATTGTGAACACCTTTGGAGATGACGAGGGTTAACAACGAGGGCCGGGAAGTCCTGCTCTCGGTATGTCGTATGCCGCTAGCCTTGCGCAAATCGTCCCAATCCGGAAGCGCTCGGAGGCCACGGCGGTCGAAGAGAGAGCAAAAAAAAGCACACAAAAAAGAAAGCAATAAAAACCCCCCCGATTCCGGTCGCCTTGCCGAGAATGACTGGGGAAATCCACAGACCAGGGGGGGGGGGCGCGTCGACAACACCCGCCGCGCATGTCTGAAAGGGGCGAGTCTTCCTGAGCCAGGAGCCGTTTCCAAGGCGGTCCCTCTGAAGGTCGCACAGGTTACGGATACACAACGATAGTCTACGACTCTTTACGGATACAAGTCTTGCTTTTCTAGTCACATCCCATCCGGCCCCCCACCTCTTCAGCCCTACCAGCCTCCGTCGGCTGAGCCGACCACCAAAGCCGAAGACATGTAGACAATCATTCCACTAGCGTCCGGTGGATTGGGACTAGCGCCTGTGTTTTGTTGCCCAGGCGAGGCTGACTGCGAGTGTATGGCATGCTTGCTTACCAGCTCGCATGAGCCGTCACGTCACACATGCCACTGGGTATCGGCAGGCTTGAGTTTGGGTCCAAGTTCAAAGTCTGGTGAACTAACTCCGTTGGTGGGCGTGTGCTCCTTGTATGGGATTTCCGGAGTGTGCAACAGATGGCCAAAAGACGTGGGTGTACGTTGCTTGAAACATAGAAAACAGACAAGTAAAAAAAAATGGTATACATCATCAGCTTTATGACTGACTGATTGAGCGAGGCAGGCCGCGACAACGTTGTGCATGGAAACCCCCACCTCCCTCGATCCAAGCAAAGGATCTCCCCTCTCTGATCCAAGTCTTTGAAAGTTCCAAAATAGCACCACCAGTGGCTATCGAAAATGCCCCTCCAAACTCCCCTTTCTGTACCGTAAGCAATCTGCAATCTGCCTCGCCAAGGCGAACAATTCCTTGTTCCCAACGCAGAAAAAGGCAAGTCCCTTTCTCATGCGTCTCCGCCGCCGACGAATGCAAGGCCGGCACCTGTCAAGAACGCGGCGGCAACCCAGGCGCTAGCATACAGAGACGCACCGTATGACTCGACGCCGTTGATGGTCATGAAAGTCTGAAGGTAGGTGTTTACGCCAGTGACGAGCATGACCACGGCCGTTCGCAGGATGCCAACTTTTTCCCGCGTCGTATAACCCCAGATGTTCCACGCCAGAGTCTCGCCCAGAGTAGCCGTCGCAGGGTCGAACTCGGCCAGCTTGTTGTCCTCGGCAGTTTCGCCAGTTGCAACTAAGGGTGTGAAGATGAAGGATTTCGCGGCAATGCCAAAGGCAATCGTCACAGGCAGTGTGGCTAGAAAGTTGGTGCTGTAGGCCGGTGCAAGACTGGGCAGACCCTGAAAGTAGAGTACGAGGGTCGTAGGCAGGTATGTCTTGTAGGCGGTGAACAGGGTGAGGCTGTAGAGGGCCGCCGCCAGAACAGTGGTGTAGATCTGAATCGGGATGTCGGTGATAATCTCACGGTTGGCGACGTTCTTTGCGCCGGCATGCGCGCCCGACAAGGGCCTCAGAAGCTGGAAAGGCACAAATGTTGACAGCATCTCAATGCCCAAGGCCGAGATGGCGGTCGCGGGGCTAATGTTGTAAAACGTGGCAATCAGGTAGACCTAAACAGAAGCCTCGTGTCAGCACAGGCGGCATTACTCGGCCGAGGGATGCCATCATTGTCACGCATCATCAGACCAGAACATACCGAAGGGCCATGCGCAAGCAAGTTGAGCGCAGCGAGGTCGTAGCTATCGAAGTTGCCGAACCAGCCCAGCGCGAGCTCGAATCTGTCGGGACGCCAGAATTGTCAGTAAAGACATGCTTCACGAGAGTTTTGCGGATCCACGAATCGGGAGTTGAAGGAACAAAACTCACATGCGCCATCCAGCTAGTGTCGCGACCTCGCCCCAGGCGTCCAAGCTCTTAGAGATCCCCGCCAGCTCTCCGCGGCTCCACTCGCTGAGGAAGCTGTAGCACAAACTCGAGATGCTAAAGCTCAGCACCGTGACGAGCGGGAATTGCAAAGCAGCCGGCAGGTGCGAGCGCTGGCGCCTCGGGTGCTGATGGTCGCGATCCCTCTCGCTGATCTGCGTGGCCTCCGACTCCTTGGCCGCCGCCGCCGCCACCTCCGTGGCGTCATTGACGACGCCCAGTGCCTCGACCGTACCGTCGGGTGCCGTCTCGAGAGACTCGAGGTGGCTCGCGATGGGCTCGATCGCGCGCGTCGTGACCTCGTCGACGGTCCGCGCGGCCTCGCCTCTGCGTCGTAGAGTTGGCATCTCGAGTCGCTGTGTGCGTGTCTGTGGGGTGGACCGAAGAAGCAACGTGTTTTGTTGCGAGTTTCCGTCAAAACAAAGAGTAGAAGCAGCTTAGATGAAGCGATGCGCCAGATGGAGAGGAGAGGGGTAGGGGAGAGGGAGGAGGGGACAGACTCGAGGTGGAGGAAGTCGCGACTGCCGTTTGCGATTTGTGATACGATGATATCAACCTAAAGATGGACAATGCAATAGTGTAGAGAAGTGAGACCTTTGCGTTTCCCACCTCCGAGTGCTGCTGTGGCCTATGATGCCGAGTGGAGAAAGAAGCTCTCCCAGTGGGTAAAGGTGACGTCGCTGGGGTAACAGCAGCCGCGGAAAGATGGTGAGGTAAGCTCTGAGTGTAAAGGCTGATCCAAAGGGTCTTCTCCCCCACACTGCCGACCACCGAGCGACCGCCGTGCTTCAGCGTCCCGCTCACTGAAGCGGAAAACAACTCCACTGAGAGCGGGTGCCGCAAGGATCGAGTTTTCCACTGCTCCGTTTATTCGATCCGTATTTTGCAGAATTTTTCTTCTTCCTCTATGTTTTCCTCTTGTTGCAGGAAAAAATTTCACCATCATCCTCTCCTGTTTTATAGGCATAAAAGAGCCAGAGGCCCCCCGGCCCCTCTCCTCCTCGAGACTCGGGGACGACACTGGTCCTCTTTCTTTGACTTTGCTTCCGTTTGCCTGGTGTCTGTCTGTATGTGTAATCTTCAAAACTGAATGAGCTCACATGCAAATCTTCACCTTCGGGAGCAAAGCTCCGAGTGTGTGCCTGGTTTAAGGTTGCTGCCGGCTTGACTGGCTTGACCGGTTTGCTACATACGACCAGCTAGCCCTGCCTCGTTACTTCCGCCGCCGTCGTTGGTAAACAAGAACCACGCGTCTCATTATATGCCCAATCATCACCAATAGTTTTCCCATCCATCCATCATACAAGGGGCCTGCCTACACATGTCACACTTGGCACATGGCATTCTTTTGATCTTTTTTATTTTTTTCTTCTTATATTCGTTATGCTGGCTTCAAACCGCAGAAAAGAGCGTTGAGGCCGTTCTTGAGGCATCGCACTCTGTCTCGCAAGACCCGTCAGTGTGATAGCTTCGGGCGTTCGCTCGACGCCCTCTCCGTCTCTCACTTTAACCTCGTGGCGATGCAATCTCGATCGGATCATCGACCTGCCTTGTCTGGCCAGGCAATGATGCAAGACCGGGCCCTCCACTCCTTGGTGCTGAGAGATCGGCGGCGGAGACGGAACCACCTTGTTTACAGGGTTTAGTATATGGTGGTACAAAAGAAACACAATCCTCCCCTTCGCTTCCCCTCCTCAGTCATGTACTCATCTCCTCAGATATCGTCGGCATCAACGGTCGAACCGAAGCTTTCTACTCTTCCATCCGTCCGAAGACGCCGTCGTCGTCTTCGTCGCTCCGAGACCGAGATCGAATGTCAAAGTCGTCGTCATCCATGACGCTATCGCTCTCTTCCATTTTGACTTCAACATTGCGAACCTCGCCTCGTGTGAAGCTCTCTGGTTGTCTGCTGGGGAAGCTGTTGAGGAAACCGGCGCTGAAACTGGCGCTGAACCCTGCACTCGAGAAAGATGCCGCTTGATCAAGATACTGCGCAGGTAGCGGGGGCACGGGCGGGGCGTCGGCAGGAAGTTGCACGGTCCGACCACTGTTGCTGTTGAAGCTGCAGCTGAGAAGCTCGACCGCGGCGGCCAGGTCACGATCTTCTTGCCCTGTGGCATTTCTTCCGGACGATGGCGGCCTTTGGTCTAGGCTAGGTTGACGAAAGTGTGATGAGAATCCCCTACCGTGCGGCATGCTGCCTGTCACGAGGGGATTGGTGGATGGTGCCGATTGATACGACCGACCGAACCCGCCCCCAGATCCAAACCGCTTTGAGAACGTACGATCCGACGACGCGAAACCTTCGAGCTGGGGCGGCGGGGTGGTGTCGGCAGAGCTGTGTCGCTCGTCCGAGTATCCGGAAGCAGCAGGGGAGGCCGACTCTTCTTGGTCACTGGGGAAGTCCCTGGCGGAATCCGGAGGCGTGGCCGCGCCGCCGTCCTCCTTGCCATGGTTCATCGTCAACAAGACCGAAGCAGCTTCAAGAAGTTGGACTTGTTGGTGCTTGGAAATAAGAAGCTTGGAAGTCAGAGACCACTCGGGAGTGTGTTCCCACCTGCCGAGAAATGAGTCAGCAAACTAGCCAGCTACATGACGATCATGAGCAACCCAATAATCGGGTCTCCAGAGCCTACACCGGGAATGTCGGGGAAGGAAGACGGGGAAATAGGGAAGGGGAACGAACAAATGCTTGGTAAGGCAACTGCTGTGCTTGTAACCCTTTCCACAAGTCTCGCACTTGAGCTCAACGCGGTTGAACTTTCGGCTGCCCTCCTTGATGAGGGGTTGGCCGTCGCTGGCGCGACGGATACGAGCCTTCTGAGCATTGTGCTCGCCCTCGTCTGCCGACCCGTTGTTCGGATCGTCCTCAATGGCGCTCTCGTGGACGTTCATCTTGCCTTCTAGGTGGAACTTCTGCGTTGGCAAACTTGCGGGAGGGGAGGGTAGGCTCCCGACAATTGCAGCGCGAGCGGCAGCACTCTTTGACGCCGTGTTACGGCGGGAGCTGACGGCAATGGGCGTGACGTTGTCACCGCCGATTTCTTTGATTGCCGCTGCCATGGCGGCCGCGTTCGCGGCGGTGTTGGTCATGGACTTGCGGCGGGTGACGCGGTGGTTGGCATTGAGAGCGCCGCCGAGAATGGAGTGCGAGTTGGTACGCGAGTGGGATTGTCGTGTAGCAAGTCCGGAAGAGGAGACGGTGGACAGAGATGGACGGTGTTGGGTCAATGGCCTCGTGGTCTGCTGCATTTCCTGAGCGAGGACGAAGTGATCAGCAAGACTGGGTTGAGCAACGATGTGCGATAGGAGCGGGCGAGGCAGGGCAGGGCATGGGTTGGAATCCCCGTTCCGGGCATACTTTTGAAGAGGCCATTGCCAACTACCGATAGTGATCAGGTTCGACACCGAGAGTCGAACACTTTTTCCCTCGCAAGATAATGGTGAGAGTGTGATCGTTGGTCGAAGCGGTTGTGTTGTGCAGAGTTGTTCCAAAGATGATTGACAGATAGGCAGGTGATGAGTGAGTCGCAAAGACAAGCCTCCGGGCGAGAAATAATATTATTTTGGGGATTCAGCAGGGGTGTGTCTGTGGGCGGGTGTACGTAGTAGCTCCGAGGTGGGCCAGCCGACCGCATGTGGTGAGAGGGTAGTGGTGGTATTGAACGGTTTGGGGGGAGCCTCGGGGGTTAGTCAACTGGTGATCAACAGGGCTGTCGAGGTCCAGGCCGACTTCAACTTTTTTTTTTCTCCTGTGAAGTCTTCCGTTTCTCTTTTTATCGAGAACGGGACTGATGGAGAGGGAAAAGTTGTGGGCACGAGACAGAGGATGTTTAGGAGGGGCCCCAAAAACTCCAACGATGGACGAAAGAGACCAGACGGTCCATTACAGCAAGTACCTGACCACGACGAAATAAAAGCGCTGGTCGGGGACGAGCACGAATCCCTCCATTGGCCGTTTCCCACCACCAAGTCGCTAAGAAGAAGGTGCAAGAGAGAGAGGGGAGGGGTAAGAAGATGGCACCTCAGTACGACTACACGCCCACCCACCTCCTTCACTCACCTCAGAGCGAGCGGCGATTGGGGGAGGAGAGAAAGAGACTGAAAGAGGAGGTGGGCTGGGGTGGGCTGGGAAAAAGGGGGCGTGGACTTGGAAGGGGCGAGGAATCTGGGTACTCCGTACATGGGGAACGACAGGGGACTGGCCCTCTCTCTTTCTCTTCCTCTTTCTCCTTCCCACGCACTCACCCTCTCTCTCTCTCTCCGTCTGTTTCCCTCTTGTACTGTCCCCCCCTTCGTATCCCACAGTGTGCGTAGGGTACGACCGTACAAAGTTACGCAGCAATGTACCTCGTGGGTGGTGGAAAGTGGACATGGCCGTGGACGCAGCGAACGCAGTGGCCGGCTCCAGGAACAAGGAGCATGGGAGCATGGCCCGTGGCCGCGTCCTTTGGCAAAGAACGAACGATGGTCGGCCTCCCGAGCGATGGACGTGTCCGTAAGGCGCCGGTGCGGCGGGGAAAGGTCACTGGGGGAGGGGTGAATGGATCCTCGTGGACGAATCCTGGTATCCCATTACACAGTAATCCTCACCCTCCAAGCCCAGACCCCTTTGTGATCAGGGCGGGCGTGGTGGTGCTTGGGCTGCGTGCACATTGTAAATAGCAACTTTTTATGTATGCCTGTCTCTTCTTGCACGGATGATTGTTTCGGCAGCTCCTGGCATTTTGTATCCGGATCTCGAGGCGCAAATGTCAGTACCTTACGTGATGCCTGCCCAGTTACATAACAACAGCGGTATGTTTATGCTTCCATGGTTATGCAGCCGTCAATGCCTGTTTAACGTAATGTTCGAAGAAACACCGTCTTTGTAGGTACAACGCCTCGCCTGCTTACCAACAGTTGGCCTCGTGCCTTGGCCCTCCTCGTCGGGCGAGGGTGGCTCCATTTTTATGTTGCTTTTCCTCTGGGTCGCCTGGAGAATTGTCGTCTGCTCGTTAGCCTCGTGACCGCTTCTCCGCTTTTCCTTTTCTTTCTTTTTCTTCGCCATCATCATCTTCTCTGTCATCTCGGTGTGGCAGTGTAGGTAGGTTGGTATGCGTGTTCGCGAGGTAACGAGGTGGAATGATCGAGACAACAGTCTCCAATAATCTCCCAGGAATGCCGTGTCTTGGTTGAAGCGAGAGACCCATCGACTGCGAGTGGTATGTTTCGGTAAGCTGCCAGGTTCAGAGTTGCGTCGCACCCCGCGACAGCTCTGGTTCCCTGTCGTGGCAGCTCTATCCGGGCAGAGACCGGTACACTGTTCCCGGCCCAGGCTCAGAGCTGCGAGCGTCGGGCTGGGGCATTGGGGCACTGCGGCATTTGGCACGGGGAGCACTGGTCGCCTCTGGTTTCTCAACCAACTGGAGACAATGACTTCCATCGGATCGGGAATGGAAAGTTGAGACGTGGGGAGGGACGTAGTAGCTTCGCAACGCCGAAGCACTAGGTCTATGCCAAAATAATGATGTAGTTTGTGGGCTGTGATCTTGTGCGAGCTCCGCCGTAGTGAGTTGTGCGCAACGCGCCACGGTGTGCTGAGGTGTGCTGCTTTGGTCGGATGAGGATAAGTCAGGTAGAGACCTTGAATGAGATGAGGGGAAACCTAGGCGAGAAAGGTGCTAAAATGAAGTATTGCGCAAAAAGGTGTTGGCGAGATGTCTTGTTGAAACCTAGTGGGTATCTCCTACCTAGTGTGTCTGCACCCATCGTGTTTCTCTACCCGTAATATCTTGTGGACGTCAGTTACATGTATTCGTTTCTTTCTTGGCTGGTCGCCCATTGGTGCGCAATGAACGTTGACGTGTCGCGATACAGGACGCAAAGGACAAAATAAGAAACGGTAAAGGAAGGAATCGAAATTCCCCGGCGGTTCTGTTGATCGTTGATCGTTGATCGCGCGGGACTAAAACTAGTTTACCTACACTATGTACCCAGGCAACGTAGGGACAGTTCTTCGACGGCGCGTTCTTGGGCTGAATTGTGCTCGAGAGGCAGGGCAGGTACGGTACACACAGAGGAACCAGCTTAAGTAAGGTAAGGAAGGCAAGGCACATCACCTCATTCAAATCATCAGATCTGATAAGGCCACACCGGCGGCACTTGACTCCAGTGAGTCGGCTGTGAACTGTGCGATTCTGATTAGCTGAGCTCCTAGGCGCACAGTGAAGACAGTATCATAATCATGCTTGTACCTGGGGAAGTGCCCGTGATGTATGTACCTTTCCTTTTCACTTGAGCGCCTACCAAGTTCGGTAGCTCTGTGTAGGTAGGAGTGCAATTCTTCCTCTGGAGGCAGATACGCAGGGCAACGATTCTGCAATTCCATTTTGGTCCAAGTCCACGGCCGGAACAAGTGGAAAACACCTAGACTGGCTGAACGAAGGACCCAGAAATACCACAGCAATGTTGCTCAGCTTTGGTGTCCACTTGGGTTTACGACGATGGATAGCCACTAACACCACCACCACCACCACCACCATAACTCGACGCAGGATCATGATAACGCCACCCCCACCTTTTCTCGCCCGCCATTCCCTTGCCCCTCTTGCTACTCTCTTCCTTGTCCTATTCCCATAGGCATTACGCTTCAACCTCGCACCCCCCCTACCGCGAAACGACCTACCAATCGCCCGATCCAGAACCGGACCTGACCACTATCCGCTGGGGGGCTCCCACACCCATAACTCACTACACCACCATCTTTTGACCAGATGCAGGCCCCCCTCCCAGTGACCAGTAATCACAGGACTCGTTCGCTGGGACGCTGTGCCTGAAGAAGGGTTGGGCCGGCGTTGGAGCAACGCCAGTTCGACGAAAAGTGCTACGCGGTGCCCCGACTGCTGTGCGCTGGCTGGCGCGTCTCTCCAAATTCAGGACTCTGCCGTTTCTCCAGCTATGCCTTACTCAGGATTTCTTTCCTCAGACCTTGCGTGCTGTGCTGGCTGGGCGATCCGTTGGAACTTGATAGAGGGCCGGTCTTCACCAGGGTGTCGGGCAAACAGTCTATCCAAAGGACCGTCTCGTCCCCGTCTCTCTCATCCCGTGCTAGGGGCGCCAGTACCATTCGGGACAATCAGCTGCCCTCTCCTGTCCTCAATCGGGCGCCATGCGGCCTTCTGCTCTAGCCAGTTCGAATGGATTGTCGTGCCTCTGGAGGACGCCGCTTATACCGTTCATTATTCCGCTCCCCCCTCCGACGTGCGCCTGTTCGTCACACATCTTGCTTCGCCGGCCAGAATGGGGGAAGGCCTTCGCCACCCGACGCTATTTACTCGGATTCCCGTTGTGCCAACGTGATGGAATGTCTGGGGCAGTGGACAAAGAGCAACCAAACCATCGTCAACGAGGGAGTCTTCAACACGGAGGGACCGGCCAGTGTCCGGAGATGGACAAGCCGCATCGCACCCGAGGAGGACACGAGGACATACCCTACCCGGATTCTGAAGAGGAATTGGCTTCATATTACGTTCAGCATGCAGCTAGTGCGTCACTGGGCGTAGCCATTCAAGTCCAGGCCTCGATGATCGCAGTTTCGGTTGCGCAAAACTGACGCTTTGGATGCATGCAAGACCAGTCTCGGTATATGCCGCTAACTCTTCGTCTTCGGCCATTCCCCAACATTGACGAGCCGGTGTTGTCTCGGAGAAGACGCCAAAAGCCTGTCTTATTATCAAAGGACAAAGTTGCCTCTCGCAGGGCCTGTGAGCCCACGATCATCCGTACCAGTCTTCTACTTGGCCTGCTGTACGATTGTATCTATCGCCGTCCTCAAACGTTTGCCCTGTATTGCGCCATGTCAATCTCAGCAAGTATAAACCGATAAAGGAGCCCACCGAACGTACTGAGCCGGTGTCTGGCTACTGGCAATATACCTATGCTCCTAACACCCTTGTGAACGATGTGGGCAACGAACATCCACCCTATATTGTTTCACCTGATAAACGAAAAGCACGATGCCCCAACGGGCAACTCTGGCTCTGAAGAAGACTAAACTGTTTCCGAAAACGAGTAAGGTCGGTTGGATCCCTTCCAAGTCAGGATCAACCGTAGAAAGACAAAGCTGCCAGGGAGGTCGACGATTGAAGGATGCTAGAGACACCTCAGTTGCCAGAGACATTGCCTTTTGCATAAGCAACCATCCACTTGTGTTACGGCGTGCCTTATGCATATTTCGGCGGCTGGTGCTTAATATAACAGCTGGGCAAAGC